AAAATGTGAGGATGTGGGACAAAGTAGAATGATTCTTTAAAAGAGAAAGCACATGAATGATGGGCTGATGGCCTCCTTCTGTGCTGTAAGTTGCAATGACATTAGGAAATATTAAATTTAATTGTGGCGAGTTATGAGGGAGTTACTTCATATTTGCTATATTGTATCCGAACACCATAAACAGGGAACGTTAATGAGAGTTAAAAATTCTCTACATTGTATTTATACCCCTCTACAGTCTCACTACATCCTTTCTCTGTAACCTCCTCCACTTCTGGCTTCTGCACATTCCTAATTGTCTTTGTTCCCCTATCAGTGGCCAGGAATTCAAATGTATTAGTTGTGGGTTCCATCCCTATACTTTTTTTTGACTCACTGCCTCTCTTTCCTATTTTAAGTTGCTCCTTAAAACCTAGCTCTTTGATCCAGTTATTGGTGACCTGTCTTAATAACTGCTTATGTGGGGTCAGAGCAAATTTTGCTTTGTGATATGCCTGTGAAGTGTTACCAGTTGTTTTACTCTTTTAAGGTCATGATATAGCTGTTGTTATTTTTTAATGTTTCCTGAATGCCTATGGAATATATTCTGAATAGACATTTGGAATTTTGCTTTCATAGTTGCTTTTAATCTCAGTACTGAGGAAGTGCTATACAGTCAGAGATGCTGTTTTTGGTTGAGATGTTAAATCCGACTGACCTCTCAGTTAGGTATTTCAAGATAGGCTGTCAGCCATAGTCCACAATGGACCACAGACATCTCTCTCTGCTACAGAGAGTGAGAGAGAGAGAGAGAGAGAGACAGTGGTTATATAGCTTGAAAGGCACCATTTGACATTAAGCAGGGGGCAAAGTGAGAAGGCTTGTCTCCACAAATAACCATGGTTGGTACATTAGATTGAACCCACATCATTCCACACTATACTCCAATCATCTGAGTTAACTGATTACTCTCTCAGGTGAACAAAGAAGGTCACTGTTTCAACAAAGAGCAGAAGAGCATTCCCTGTCATCCCGGGTTAATGTTTATTCTCTATTTGGTAATTTGCCTCCTTGCTATTTGTCGGAGCTTGCAACGTGTTAATTGGCTGAAACACTTGGAAAGTACTTCAGTGGCTGCAAAGTACTTTGTGGCATCCTGAGGTCATGAAATGTGGTATGGAAATCCAGGTTCCATCTATCTACACCTTCATTTCAAATGAAAGAAAAGACAACACTTAAAATGCACAGAACTGCTTGACATTAACATAAGGATGGGCATCTATGATTATGTAGAGATCCCAGCAAATTAATGTCCAAGGCTGAAGTTTGATCTCTGTAAATGGCAACAATTTGGTACCCCTCATTCAAGTAGTATTTCACTGTTAACTTGAAGGAAATACCAAGCAACATGGTTTGGTAGTGTCACCAAGCTGAACGAATCGCTTAGAGCATTAAGTAGTTACCTCATTTCAGCATCTCAACTTTCAGTCCAAAGAGATAGGGATCAAATGAACTCAAAGCAGGAAGGTTATGCACTATTCAAACAACTAGACACTCAGAACCATATTTCAGTCAAAGACTTAACACCAAAATATGCTTTGTGAAACAGAGAAGATCAAACCGTAAAATGGTTAAGGAAGCAAACACCCTAAAAAGGTTAACTTTACAGTTCAAATACTTCCAATAGCCATTGATTTGAAATGTTCTCTTGGTGTCTCTCATTATAGATGGTGTCTGAACTGTTAAGTGGTTCCATCATTTTCTGATTTCATCCCAGGTTTCCAGCATTCTCTGGACTTGGATAAAGGAGAAATATATGGAGGACTGCGGGAAAGGGTAGGGCAGAGGGACTAGTTAAATTGTTAGCAGGGGTTGACTTGGATTAAAGGGACAGGTAGCCTTATTCTATGCTGCAACCGCTTTATAAATGTGTAATCAACAGTATTTTGTTTTTGTCTCAGTGCTAGTCAGAGATTTGTAATGATCCAGTAACCAGTTTGCCAAAATACAATTCCAATGTTATCTCCAAATGTCCAACTGCCGAACAGTGTCCAGGACTGAACGAAGAGTCCACCTCCTGGATAAGATGAAACTTAATTTGAAATGCAAGGTCAGGTATAAAGTGTCTGATTAAAATGTAACTACTTTTCAGGCACCAAAAATTTAATCACCTTCATAAAAAGCTTTGGTTGGTATTACTTGAAATCAGTAATATAGATGACCAAGTTCCCTAACAAGAATCATTAATTCTCAATCAGACTGATCTTCCTTCTCCTTAGTTTCAGCTTTTTGAGACCACTTGCATGTATACTACCTGCTTGATCAGCAAACTCACTGCAATCTAGGGATTAAACGTGGGGATTTTTCTAGTTACATCAAGCAATTAAATCAACAAATTTATCTATTGGAAGTACATTAAACAGATTGTGAAATCCAAAGGAAGATAATTTGAGTTAGAGAGGAGAATAACTAAACAGAGACAAATATGCTATGCAGCAAGTTGCTGATCACTGTTTGAGGAACATTTATCAAATTTAAATTAAGAAAAAGTTTTCTGATCGGGATTATCAAAAGAGAGATCTAAATTGTGCTGCTCAATTGGAAGTTACTGTATTGGAAAAAATGAACTTGAAATATTTCTGTCTCTATTGAAAAGCAATGTTGGCCTAAAGTGGAATTTTATTTATCAAATCTTCTCATTTAAGTGAATTTACCTTTAGCCAAATTCTTCAGTTTCACTCAACGCTTTTCATCTCTGCTGTTGTTCTGCCTTGTTACAGAAGTATTGTACAGTTGTCACTATTTGATGTCAACTGGCAGTATCTGCCATTTTAAACATCTCCTGTTGAATAAAGATATGTGTTATGAAGAAAACAGTGTTAATATTTAATCACTGTAATTAGTTTATCTTTATTCTAACACAAACTGAATGAAAGCATTATCCAAAGTTGAAGTTCCATCTCTGCACGGCTCACTATCCCTACATTGAGGACTAGATAAATACAGATGACTGGATGCTGTTGAAATGGTGAAAAATGCCATCTGTGTTAGACAGCTGATTAAAGTAAAATAATGTGGCTTATAATTTTAGATTGACAGTATGGAGTTTAATTAGATTTCCCTAGGGAAATGTTTCACAGATTGCTACCTTGTTCAAGGGTGGTCTTTGACATTCATCTCAGGAAAGATTGTACTTGGATAGAGTCATATTTTGGCATATTACAATTGGTGTATAAGAGGGCAGCTTTCGGGCATAATGGGTTTCTGCATTACATATTTTCTTATGTTTTCTTAGATTTAAATCTTTGGCCAAAAGCCTGAGAATTTTCAATAGCCAGCAATGCAGTATTTCTGTTTAATGAACTTGTCTCCTAATCAACATTTACCTACATTTCATGGACCCGAATTCAGACAAAATAACTGACATTAAGTCAAACAGAAAGTCATTAGGAGAAATGACCAAAAGTTTGGTCAGAAATTTGGGTTTTAGGGAGCATCTTAAGGGAGGAGTGAAAGACAACTCAAGAGGGAATTACAAAGTTTGGGGCCAAGACAGCTGAAGTCACAGCCACCAATTATGGAGTGAATGATGTGCGGTGTGAATAACATAAGCAAAGGAAAGAATTAACAAATTCGCAGGATTGTATGGAAGGAGGAGGTTTCAGAGTTGAGAGGGGAAGCGAAACCATGCACAGGTAATACAAGACTGAGGAGATTAAATTTGAGGCTTGTGGGACCTGGGAGTCAATGTCAATCAATGTAGAGACGGGCCTTGGGTGAACATAACTTGGTGCAACTAAGGGCAGCTGACTTGGATGAGCTCAGCCTTTGGATGAGACCAGAAGATGTGAGGCCTACTTGAGCCTAGTTAAAAAAAAACTTTCTTGCTATTTTTAATTTTCTTTGCAATGATAGGGATACTACAGAAGGCTTAATGCTTTTAGGGATCTCCATACTTGAGCTAGGAAAGGAGGAGATGGTGAAGAAATCCATCAGTTTCCATGCCTGATCACCATCAATGTAACGTTCACTTTCATGGATATCAACTGAGGACATGCACAGTGATGACCTCTGCAATGGAATATCCTGAGTGATACATTCCATAGCAGCAGCTAAGAGTAGCATAAAACTTCACATTAGATCAGCACTTGGTCTCACCTTGTCTGGTTTTGCTTATGTTGTTCAAAATCTGTTGAAAGGAGAGGGGTTATATAGGGAATGGTGATCTGGTGGAGCCAGTTTTACACCTCTCCCCAACCTTTTAATTTTAAAGCTTCTCACTTGTCAGCTCCGACTGTCCAGAGTCATGACAAAATCCTGTACCACAAGACGGAGTCGTTGGGTGAACAACATGTAAACTGAGTTCAGAGTATTTAGGAGACATGAAGAGATACTGTAATAATACAAAACACTGCAAATAATGAGCCAAAAGATGTAACCTGTTTAATAGATAAAACTTTTTTCTAAGCTGAAAATCACAAGTTGAATTTTTGCTCCCAGGGGCTGGTAATTAATGCCATATGGAAGTACTGCACATGCTACCTTTTAACTAAGAGTTAAGTCACAGCCCTGTCTAGACTTTCTCATGTAAAAGATCCTATGACCACTATTTCAAAAACGAGCAGGCATTTCTCCCTGGTATCATTTATCCCTCAACCAAATTCACAAAAACCATAGTCATTATCAAATTGTTATTTGTATGACCTTGCTCTGCACAAATTGACTGCAGTGTTTCCTAAATTGCAGCAATGAATTCCAAAGAAATGTATTGAATTAAGATCTCCCGGGGCTATCTTGAGGTTATCAAAGATGCTGTAGGAAGCTTGAAAAATGCAAGTGTGCTGCTTTGGGACATTATAAATTGAGCTGTATACTTTGCTGCAAGATTTTATCAATGCCCACCTGAAGGGAAACTGAAATTTTCGGATTTTGTAAAATTTTCAAACAATAGATATCCAAAATGAAGCAAATAGAAAGTCATTTTTTAAAAAAATAATGTAAATACGGATTGGTCTTTTGAAAACTAAAATGTGTCCTTAACCAGTACGTGGTGCTATAGAGTACCAGAAACAACTCCCAGACCCGGGGAAGAGCAATGCTGCAGGAATTCAAACTAGAAATCCAGTGACGAACAAAAAGGTATTTTTTTCAAAAAAAATGTTTCAAAATGTTGAAGGAAAGGATCATACGTTCTTGGTACTTTACCCGTGGGAGGAGTACTGACTGTTCGGCGCTAAGCCTCAGTTTTCTGATTGATCCTGAGGAGTGTCCCAGGCATCAGACGCTGTCACTGGGAGGGCTCATCAAATTTAGTCTCTTGGAACCCTGAGGCCTAAAGTAATTTAATTTTTGGTTTCTTTGTGTTTATTAGTAAGATGTCCCATTTTATTCATGTATTTAGCATCTTAAAATTAATATATTGTTTTTATAAGAATTTTAAGTGTTCTGCTAGGACTAATATTGAAGGCCAGTAATACACATTACACAATTAGGTGAATTTCCAATTTTGCCTTATACCAAGTGAGGCCTACAACCAAAATCACACAAGAACCTGGAGAAAGATCTTTTATAAGATACTTTTCAATATATTTTTCATTTAAAACACCTTTTCGGACTTTTTTTTAAACAAGTATATATGAATTAATAGCTGAAAATTGGACAATCTGATTCAGAAGAAACAGTTCTGAACTTGTAAAGATAGTATGTTGTGCGTGTTCTTAACAGTTTAGGATTATGTTAGGTTCGTGACTTCTATTTGTGGATACAGCTAATGATACTCCTTAATGGTTTAACCTTGAACTTGTTCGTGTATGTCTCGGATCAATTTGTGTTTCGTAATGTACGTTTTTGTCAGATAATTGCTGCTGTGAAGTGCCTTGTGACATATATGGTGCTGTGTTAATGCAATTTGTTTTAAATTGAGTGGATATGTTTCCAATTCTACCAAATATTTTCTGCTTGGTGTTTTAGAAGTCTTGATATGAAAGAAAGAGCTCCTGTTTAGATTGTGAAGTTCAAGACATTCCAAAGTGGATTGCAGCTAATTTTTTTTTTGCATTTTGAAATGCAGTCACTGTTTCAATGTAAAAATTTGCAGCAATGAAATAGGTAGTGAGGGGCTCCATTCCTTGTTACGTGATAGGCATGACTCTGACGTGGTTCGGTAGTATATAACACTCTCGCCTCTGAGTGAGAAGGCTGTGGGATTAAGTCTCACTTCAGGGACCCAAGCACCAGAAATCTCGGTTGACAATCCCAATCCAGTGCTGGAGGTGTGGTCTATTGGATGAGAAGCAAAACCCAGGCCCCACATGTTCTCTGAATTTTGGAATGAAAGATCCCACAGCCTTTATTTCAAAGAAGAGCAGGGGAGTTATTAAATTGACATTTATTTCTAAACCAGCATCACTAAAGTAGATTAGAGATAGTAGGAACTGCAGATGCTGGAGAATCCGAGACAACAAGGTTGTCAACACCTTGTTGTCACTAAAGTAGATTACCTGGTTGTTACCAAATTGTAGTTTGTGGGATCTTTCAGTGCACATTGCTGCGTTATCTGCTTGACAGCAGTGCCTACAATTCGGGAAAATATTCCATATTGCATAACTCTTTGGGATGTCTTAAGGTTGCGAAAGGCACCATCAAAATACAAGTCTTTTCTTTTTATTCCTTATTAGTTGGGGGACCACATTTGACATCAATTCTGGGTTTGTTCTATCCTGACACCTGTGACAGATTAGTGATGAGAAGCAGGAGTCCTGGTTGTTTCTTTGCTTCCTCTTTTCCAGGCCAGGGTCACTGAAGCCAATCATAACACTTCCACTATTGTCCTTGGCTTAGGCCACTTGATTCAGCATTCATTCAGGATCAAATTTGGTTCTGCCCTGATTTGTATAGGTTAGTGGTGTATTTAGAATGGACTGGTTCTGAAAACATATCCCAGGTCAGGGTGTGGCCTGTTTGTAATTACTGTGCTTGAAATAAGCAACAGTTTTCTAATGCATCCTCTGATCTAATCTAATAAGCATCTGTAGAATTCCCTTCCCAGACCGTAATGGAGGCTTGGTCAATGAATTATATGCAAGGCTGAGTTGATCTGATTTTTGATCAGCAAAGTGTTTGAGAGTAATGGAGGCAAACAGGAAAGTGGATTTGAGGCCACAGCTAGATTGTCTACGATCTTATTGAATGGTGGAGCAGGTTAGAAGGGCCGAATGTCCTGCTCCTAATTCTTCTGATCTCCTGATTTGTTAATTCACAGCAGCTCTGAGAGCTATAGCAATCAGTCTGTGTTTAGAATCAGTTTTGTTAAGCGTATTGACAACTTAGAAATTCTCACTTGAACCAACTTGCAGCTACAATCCATATCATGGATTTGTGTCCAATTCAAAGGAATTCTGCAGAATCCAGATTCACGGCCTTGCTGGAAGCCTCATGTCTAGCTTTCACTTGCTCTTAACTGAATCAAGACTGCCGTGGAGTTCTTATAGTCCAAGACCTATACAGACATTGCTGCTTCCCTTTCCCCCTCAACACCCAGCTTCTTCTCAGCAATTCAATTTTGTGGCTCTCACCCTCTTTCTCAGACTCCTCCACAGCCTATGCACCAGTACAGCGTTGTTAGAGAAGCCACTTTTCAGGGCCTGGCCTGTAGTTGAAGTGGTTCTTTCCCATTAACTTATGCAAGAGGTGGGGAGTGGGGGGAAGAACTTAAGAGCAGACGTAGGCTGTATGTTCCTTGAACCTGCTGCACTACTCAGTAAGATTATGACTGATTTGATTTTGGCCTTGCCCCTACATTGCTCTCAAAACCATTGAATCCCCTACTATTCAAGAATCTGTTTATTTCAGCCTTAAGTATATCACATGAATAGGAAGGGTTTAGAGAGATACGTGCCAAACACAGGCAAGTGGGACTGGTTTAGTTTGGGAATTTTGGTTGGCATGGACGAGTTGGACGGAAGGGTCTGTTTCTGTACTCTATGACTCAATATTCAAATGACACAGCCAGCACAGTTTTCTGGGGTAGAGAATTCCAAAGATTAATGACCCTCTAAAAGAAGAAGCTCCCTCCCTTATCTCCACCTGAAGTGTGAAATTCTTCATTCTAAATCTGTGTTCCCTAGTCCTAGATTCCCCACAAGGGCAGACATCATTTCAGTGTCTATCCTGTCGAGTCCCCTCAGACTCTTTTACATGTATCACCTCTCATTTTTATAAATTCCAGTGAGTATAAGCCTGACGTGCTCAGTCTTTCCTCAGAGAAAGTTACAATTTTAAATACAAACGGGGAGTGTGGGTTTTCCGGTGGGTGGTATTCTGCTGTCAACCAATATGAAAACGAAAACAAAAACAAAATAACAGTTTGTTCAGTAATTTACATATCTTCGAGGACTTGCTGTGTACAATTTGGCCGCATTTTAACCATTGCCAATTGGCAGTCATATGTTTTGAGTGATGCGGTGAGGTACAACAACAATTTACATTCGATAAACTCTCTAACTGTAGTAAGGTCTGAAGATGCTTCACAGAAGCATCGTAAAATAAAATTTGATATTGCGCTTCACAAAGAAAATACTACATCAGGTGATCAAAACCTCGGTGCAAAAGATTGACGTTAAGTTGTGTCATAAAGAGCGGGGTGGGGGGACGAATCCCAGAGTTGAGGATTAAGACAGTTGAAAATCCTGCAGCCAGTGGTCAAATGATTAAAATTAGGCACGTGCAAGAGGCCAGAATTAGAGGACCACAGAGATTTTAGAGGGGCTTCGGACTGGAGGAGATTACAGAGATAGAGAGGGATTTAATGGAAGACTCGTGTGTCTATTGCATCTTTCACAACCACAGGATGACTCAAATGCTTGACAGCCAATAAAGTATTTTTGAAGTGTAGTCAGTATTATAATGTATGTGATGTTGATATTTATAAATGTAAGTTTTCAACATACAAAATACGATGCAGTGAAAAATTCATTCTCCCCTCTGTTATCTGTCTGGGAGAAAACCTTTGTGCTAAATGTTTTTCATGTTGCCCAGTGCAGACTGGAAACCTCCTTGCATAAGTTAATCAACTTTACATTCTGACAGTTGCTGCTAACCATTTTCCATTGGCATAGAAATCATTTACAAAGAGGCTATTCATAAACATATTTAGCTCACTGACTGTGTTTCGATCTGTTCAGTTCTTAGCACCTTGTTACCATCTCTATATTTAGCTTTGCCCATGTCTCTTGAGCCACAGTCTGCAGCATTAGAAATCACTAGGCAGGCTTGAGAGGCTGCCTGGACAAACCTGCTTCTATTTCCTATACTACAATGTTGTGAACTAAAATCTTGTCCGTGCCTCAACACCAGCAGCTGTTGCAGGGCTTTTAAGAAATCCACTTCCTGCATTTAACCTTTCTTACTATTCAGTCTGGCATTTGGAGCATTGATAAAAACCCATTGGTTTAAATTCCAGGCAAACTATGTTTGGCTCCCTTCCTTGTAGTAAATTTTGTTAACAATAACCTACAGAGGAACCCCATCAGAACCCCATCAGCCTTTGTTTCCTGCTTGGTTTCCATTTTCTCTTGATATCTCTAAAAGATTATACATAATTTGCTGCAATGTCTATGGCAATTTGTTTTAACGTCAACGTGTGATTAAGTGTATTTGCTTTCTTTAAGGCAGTAGTTACAGAAATGAAAATGGAAAGAAAGACAGACTTGCATTTCTATAGCACCATTCACTGTTCTCTGCTTTTTAGCTAACAAAGTACTTTTGAATTGTAGTCACTCGTCATCTGGAAAATGGAACCGCCAATATGCACACAGCAAGCTCCCATAAACAGTAATGAGGTAATGACTAGGTAATTTTTTGATGTTGATTGAGCAAATGAATGTTGGCCAAGACAGCAAGAATAATTCCAAAGCTCTTCTAAAATGGGAATACTTACATCTACAAGAGAAGTTTAATGGAGCCTCAGTTTAGTGGTTCATCCAAAAGATAGCACCTCCATTGGGGCAGCACTCCCTCAACAATTGCATCAGAGTGTCAGGTAGATTTTGTGCGCATGTCTCTGGAATAGGCTTTCAACTCATGAACTTCAGAGTCCAATTTACGAGGCCTATGTGTTAAGCCATGGCTGATGCCTGCTCCACATTGTCAGCATGCCTTGATTATTATCACCCAGTTTGGTGTTGTCTCCCCTCTCTCCACCTCCTCCAGATTGTGCTCTTGCTGTTCTCTCAACACTGATCCTTTCCAAAGTCATTGGCGGTAAAATCCTTGTCGCTCAGATGCATCCAAGTTGAAACCAACCAAGACTTTGCTGAACAGCTTTGCAAAGTTAGAGCTGTGGTTCTGAAATTTCTCTCTTTCTTGGCAGATGCCTTTCTGAGACTTTGCATAATGTGCTTTGGCAGCAAGACAGAGAAACTGCTTGAATCAAACCATCGCTAATGTTGATGACAAAGTAATTGTAGAAGTCAGTCAGTCTGTGTGCGCATCAATGAGCACACAATGACCACAATTAAAATATAGTGGCAAGAGGAAGCCTCGCTGGTTCAATCCATAAATATGACAAAATGCCTGTTTACATACACCTTCAACATTGGGTTTTGTAAATCATTTTACAACCAGCGTAATTTAAGGATTATCTTAAAGGTGGAGAGATTTAGGGTGGAAATTGCAGAATTTAGAACCTTGGCAGATGAAGCGATTAAAATCAGGGATGTACAAGGAGCCAACATTTGAGTAGCCCACATCACTTATGAATTATGGAGCTGAAGGAGTACAGAGACAGTGAGAGGATGAGGCCAAGATAGGAGGAGGAAGAGAAGTAAATTCTAGCTCTATCCTTGATGAATTTTAGTTGACAAGAAGTGGATAGACCATGTTTTTAAAAGCATAAATATTTTAAATAAAAACACAAATTGCTGGAGGAACTCAACAGGCCTGGCAACATCTATGGAGAGAAAACAGAGTGGACATTTCAGAACTGAACCATTAACTCTATTTTCTTTCCACAGATGCTGCCAGATCTCCTGAGTTTCTCTAGTGATTTCTGTTTATGTTTCAGCATCTGCAGTTCTTTGTTAATTTAAATATTTTAAATACAAGGGTTAGAGCTTTAGTTTAAGTTGACACCAGGTGCAAAGTGATCAGGTCAAAGAGCTGGAATTTGTTGATGCACGTTCGCATCCAGATCTTTTCCCTCATGCTTAAAAAAACCAGGAAACTGGATGCATGTAGCATTAAAGTTTGTCAAACCAATAAACGTCTGAGGCGGCTGTCAGTGGAATTGATAATAATTGCACACAACTAATAACAGATGAAGCAGCAAGTCCTTGAGCGTCTTCTGTTTATTCACACAGGACAGTACAAGGGCAGGAGATTATATTGTACAAGAACAGGCAAATTTATTTAATAAAGAGCAAAGGATATATATGTCTTTTAAGAATAAGGTGGCCACATACTTTGTGGAGAGCATATCTGGGTGTACAGAAATACTTTTCACTAAAAGTCATGATGTGTAAACAAGTTATACTGGTATTATGTCATGAACGTCATAAAACGTCTCAAGAACTTCGTGAAACAAAGTATTACACCAAGTGCCATCAAATATTCACTCTGGTGAATTATGCTTGCCCAAATAGAGATGTTTTAAGGAATGTCTTGAGGGAAGAGAGAGAAGTGGAGAGGTCTAGGCAGGATATTCCAGAGCTTAGGGCACAGACACAAAAGGCATAACCACTAGTGGTGAGCAATTAAAATCATAATGATGTGTGTTAATAAGGGCATTCAATAAAAAAGCAAACCAAGCCATGTGGCTCATTTGTAGATGGACATAGTTGAAAAGCAGGGAAGTCAAGTTAAACTTGTATTGAGCCTTGGTTTGACTATACTTGCGTGCAGTTCTGGTTTCTAGCAAAATCATGATGAGTCAAATTACAGGGGGCACACTCTCAAAATCACATTAAGGGATCCTCGCGATAACTGAAGAAGCCAATGGAACCTCACTTGCCTACAAACACGTTTGAAGTCTGAAGAACAAAAAATGAAAACACGGTGATACAGTAAATATGTGAAGGATGTCTTTGTTTTTCAGTTTGTTCACACATTACCAGAGATTGACCTTGTACAATAAAAGGCATTGAAAATGACGAGACTTTGCTCTGATAAAACTGAGTAATCATTTTCTGCATAGTGTGTTGTTATCAGACAGTGAGAGATTGGCCATCAGTGCAGTCAAACAGATTTTTCATGTTCCCATGCTGCAGTAGAAAATTCCGGAGAATCTCTACAGCCTTCGCAGCTTCAGTGAGGGGAAGAGGTGGACATTCATTGGACTCTTCAGGCTCCTTGTTGAAGAAGAAGCTTCAAATTTGGGTTAGTTGACCTGACCCTGCTTCTGTTTCTCAGTGTCTTGTGCAGTTTGTACCCAATGTTGCAAAAGCAGTTGGCACTTGGGACTTTCTTCCTTCTGCTGGTGCATCTTGCCCGTTTTCCTGGTCCATATCTCAAAATTGCTGGTGGTCACTCTGGCTGTTTTGTTGACCTCCTACAGCGTGGACCATAGCAACGTGACCTCTTGGACTTTCCCATCGCAAGAAGTGGCAGCTTTTCGATGTTGCTGCAGGGTGCAGCAGTGAAATGTTTCTTGCTTCGCTTTCCAACATTACATGTTTCATATTGAAACATCTAAAGGTGATCTAATAAATGACGGTGAAACGGTTAGGTTTTACCTGCATTTAAAAGGTCTCTTGGTGCATACTCATTCAGGATGTGAGCAAGGTAATTTTGCAGCCAGTCACCTGTGATTGCTGTCGTTGCTGCACCTTCACAGTTTACTGTGCGTGAGACATTGCTGTGTCCGATCAGGAGTCGCTGCACGTGAACTCCTTATGACCCAGTCTCTTTGCCAAAACAGTGATGAAATTACCCACCCGGTTTTCCACGTGCTGTATCCACTTCACTTTGTCTCCACCTGACGGCGTGTTTCATTTTTTTTGCACCTGTAGCCATTCTTGCAGCGTTCGAGGATCTTTTTATGGAGACCTCTCGCTGTAGAATGATGGCTTGCTGACCAGGATGTTGCAATCTAGAGTGGTCCCACCCTGCTCTGATTGTTTGGTGTGAGTTAGTGACAAACCTCCCCACATTTGGTTAATCTGGAGTTATCAGTCTGGAACTTTGCGTTATCACAGGCATCCTTCCTACTGGATTTCCTAGTCAACCCCACCAGAACCAGAGTTACGGGTTATTCGATTTTTGGGTCATGATTTCACTGTAGAGGACAAAAACAGTTTACAACAATGCTATCGGTATTTAGAGGTTGTAACTGTCGAGAAATTGGACAAGCTGGAGCTCTTCTCTAAAAAAGATATTACAAGTCTATAAAATGATGGCATTTGATTGAGGAGATATAGAGAAGATATTCAAACTTAGTGGTTTTTATGCTCCACACGAGCCTTTTCCTGCACCTCTCATCTTACCCTGTTCCTTGTCTCCCTTTATCCCTTGTGTGTTATCCCCTTAATCATCAGTGCTGTTTACCTCAGTCACTTCCTGTTTCCAGAGCTCCACTTTCTGGTTAAAGAAGTTTCTCCTGAATTTCCTAATCTAATTTATTAATGATTGCCTTACATTTATGGTGCTGAGTTCTAATCTGCCACGAGTGGAAAGGTCTTGTCTCCGTCTATCCTATCAGACCCACTTCTAATCATAAAGACCTCTATGGATAGCCCTTAATTTATTCTTTTGTATAGAGAGATGCCACAGCCTGTTCAATCTTTCCTGATGGGTATAATCTCCCAGTTCTAGTATCATTCCAGTAAATCTATTTGACACCTTCCCCAGTGTCTCCATAATCCTGTCACAGTTTGGAGTCCAGAGCTGGACATAGTAACTCTCACTGTGGTCTGACCAAAGTTCTATTCATATTCCACATAAATTCTCTGCTTCTCAGTCTTCCACTAATTATTGTGTTGCACTGACTTTTATGATCTATTGTCACTGAATAATAACTGGTTTGTGGAGTTTTAGCAATGGACTTAAAGCAATCAGTTGTACGTCAGTAAATTGTTGGTTAGGTCTGTCACTGGCGGGCAGAGTTTGAGGTGCCAGATTAAGAATATCATTGGAGTACCGTAACTGCATTTTAAAATGTGATTGGGGGGTTTATGCACCAGTTTGTTTCTCAATGGTGCATCGATACAAGTGCAAGTGCGACACTACAACTCTGGAACATTTTGACAAATATATGCATTAATGTAACTTTATACCACATACTGATGCAAACAAGCTTGAATTGAAAGCAGGGTTTTGGATGAGCAGAACCTTACATCTTGCTGTTCTTTTTATTTTGTCTGTTTAGCCCCAGGATGACAACAGCACAAGAAAAACAATATCCCCCATCATTGCTGAGCTTTTTCATTTACAATCCAAAGTTTGGACCAAGAGAAGGTGAGGTAGGTGAACGGCAAAATGTGTATAACTAATACTTTTTGTGAATTTGTGCTCTGGTCTGTCAGTTCCAGTTTTGAGGCTCATTTAACAGTTGGAGCATCAAAAGAATCCCTACCTTTTAGTGCTTGATTTTGAAATATTAGTGTGTTGCACTAACCTGTAAAAGTGAGAAGACTGACTCCACTGCTAGCGTCCGAGCTTGCACTGTGTCCTTTACACCCAAACCCCTGGGTGATCACTGATGTACTTTGAGTCCTGGTTAAGCATGTGACAATTTTAAAAATTCTCATCCTTGTTTTCAAATCCCTCCATGGCCTCACCTTATTTCTGTAATCTCATCCAGCCTTAATAGCCTTCAAGAGCTGTTCATTCTTCTGATTCTGGCCCTTTGAGAAGTTACGATATTAACTGCTGCACCATTCATGAATGTGATTTTAGCAGCCGAAACCCTAAGCTCTGAATTCCCTTGCTGCACATCTCTGTCTGCCTCCCTTCCTTTCCTTGTAATCTGCCTCCCTTCCTTTCCTCGTAATCTGCCCCTCTTGACCAAGCTCTTGGTCACCTATCTCAATAATCGTTATTGTTTATCAATGAGATGCCAGTTGTGAATCATTGACCAACCTGCAACTTCTCACCTAGGAAGAAAAGAAGATTCTGTTTTATCATCCTAGTGATGTTGATAAGAATGAAAAGATTAGGAATGTTGGATTGTGTGAGGCAATCGTGCAGTTTACAAGGTAAGGGCCTTAAAGCAGAATTGTTTTGAGAAAACAACAATGTTTTCTCGATTAAGTGTTTTTGCTTGGAGTGTGTGATTCCCTGTTGATATGATGGAAGAAATGTCTCCTGGTATTTAGCTGCGTGAAGTATCTGGCTGGGAGAACAGAAATTATTAAATAAAAACCGAAAGAACCACAGATGCTGTAAATCAGGAACCAAAACAAAATTGCTGGAGAGGCTCAGCAGGTCTGGCAGCAGCAGCAACTGTGAAGGAAAAAACAGAGTTAACGTTTCGGGTCCGGTGACCCTTCCTCAGAACTGATGGTGGCTGGGAAAACATCAGTTTATATGCAGAAAATAGGGAGGTGGATGGGGTAGGGAGTAAACGATAGGATAGAGCCCAAAGAGAGAGAAAGACAGTTGGACAGACAAGGGAGTTGCTAACGATCAGGCTGGGAGGGTGAATATTTGTTAATAGGGACTGTTAGTGACTAACAACAACAACTAATAACAGAAATTATTTAAAGGTAGATTTGAAATGTTCAAGTGTCACTAGGAATCTCATGGTTACTTCTCAGGAAGGGAGGATCCACTCTGGAGGGCAGTAGTTCGGTAAAGTGCAAGAAAGTATGGCTTTGAGAAGCTGTTCTAATTCAATCTGGGCATGAAGGAGTATTGATACAGTATGTTCTCTCAGAGCATTAAATAGGCAATGGAGTCGTTTATACACTGCCTCGTAAACTCATTGGATTTTTACTCCACGCTTTCTTGTAGCCTGCAGCTGTGTTTAGTTCTGGTCTCCCTGTTATAGGAAGGATATTATCAAGCTTGATAAGGTTCAGAGAAGATTTACCAGGATGTTGCTGGCAATGGAGGGTTTGAGTTATAAGGCGAGGCTGGATAGAATGGGAGTTTTTTTCACTGGAGCGTAGGAGGTTTATACAATAACGAGGAGCATAGATTAGGTGGAATGACAGGTGTCTTTTAACTGGTGTGGGTGATTTCAAGACTAGGGGACATATTTTAAGGTAAGAGGAGAAAGATTTAAAAAAGACACGAGGGGAATTTTTTTTACACAGGGGAGTGGTTCATGTGTGGAATGAATGGCCAGAGGAAGTGGTGCATGCAAGTACAGTTACAACATTTAAAAGACATTTGGATAAATTCATGAATAGGAAAGGTTTGGAGGGATATGGGCCAAGCACAGCCAGGTGGGACTAGTTTAGATTGGGATTACGGTCGGTTTGGATTGGTTGGACTGAACGGTCTGTTTCCATGCTGTATGACTCTATGCATTTTGTGACTTAGTGGTATTGGAATTAGAATGTTGAGAGTTCAAATCCCTGCCCCAGACATTAAATGGCATAATTCAGACCGACACCCCTCCCCCACCCCAGTATTGAGGGAGCATTGCATCGTCAGAGATGGATAGGATGTTAAGCCTTGGGCCACATTTGCCTGCTTGAGTGAATGTAAAAGATCCCATGAAATTATCAGAGAACAGCAATAAGATTTTGCCTGGTGTTCTGGCCGATATTTATCTCCCAGTGAACATCACTGAATAGAGATGACCCGATCATTGGGTTATTGTTACCATGGGAGCTTGCTGTACTTAAATTGCCTGCTGTATTTCCTACAGTATAGCAGTGATATACTTCAAAAAGTTGTTCATTAGCTAGAAGGAGCTTTGGGATGTCCCAATATTATGAAAGGCACTGTAAAAGTACAAGTTTATTCAGTGGCTTAATCTTGTCATTTATCTTGATGTTTTACAAGTCTTGTAAGCTGTTCTTGAGCGAGAGTAAATTGTGTGTTACTTGCCATCTGAAAGTTTTACAGGAACAGACTCTGGGCTAACCTGTTTCTTCTCTGCATTTACAGGACCTTCTGTCCCACCAAGCCTGCAAAGTCCTTGCATACACAGAAGAACAGACAGTTTTTTCACGAAGCAGAGGAGAATTTCTGGATGGTTATGGTACACATTACCCAGAAAGTTTTGTAGATTGTGCAGTGTTTGGTGCGTGTCACCCAGAACTGTTGTTTTGCTTGAGCTGAGTGTAACCAAGACTGAGCTGTGGCTGCTACATTTTTTTCTGATGAAGGGTCTAGACCTGAAACGTCAGCCTTTCTGCTCCTATGATGCTGCTTGGCCTGCTGTGTTCATCCAGCTCTGCACTTTGTTGTCTCGGATTCTCCAGCATCTGCAGTTCCTACTATCTCTGATTACATTTTTACAAGTACCTGTTTCAACCTGTTAAGCCCCGACTGGCTGTTCCAAGGGCTGGATGAATGCAAAATCTCTCCCCAGATCTCACCTCTGGTAGATGTGAAAGATTTCTATGGCCATCATTTGAGGAAGAGTTGGTGGTTCTTTTCAATGTCCTGGCCTATCCTTTAACCAAAATTGGTAAAACAGATTATCTGGTCATTTATTTCTGTGATTTGCCAGTGCTTACTGTGCACATATTCTTTCTTCAGTTTCCCACTCTTACAGAGTCATGCAGTGTGGAAACAGACCCTTCAGTCCAATTCATCCGTGCAGACCAAGTTTCACAAACTAAACCAGTCCCACTTGTCTGCATTTGGCCCATATCCCTCTAAACCTTTCCTGTTCATGTACCTGTCCAAATGTCTTTCAAATGTTGTAACTGTACCTGCATCTACCACTTCCTCAGGCAATTCCTTCCACATCTGAACCACCCTCTGTGTGAAAATGTTGTCCCTCGGGTCCTTTCGAAACCTTTCTCCTCTCACCTTAAAAATGTGCCTGCTAGTTTTGAAATCACCTATTGCAGGAAACAGGCCTTTGCTATTCACTTTATCTATGCTCCTCATGATTTCATAAACCTCTCTAAGGTCACCCCTCAACCTCCTTTACTGCAGTGAAAAAACTCCCAGCCTATCCAGCCTCTCCTTATAATTCAAACCCTCCAGTCTTGGCAACATCTTTTCTGAACACTCTCCTATTTAATATTAATCCTTCCTATAGCAGGGTGACCAGAACTGTACACAATACTCCAAAAGTGGCTCACCAACATCTTGCACAATCTCAGCATGGCATCCCAACTCCTATATTCAATGGCCTGAGCAATGAAGGCAAGTGTGCTAAATGCCTTCTTAACCACCCTGTCTACCTGTGACACAACTGTCAAAGAACTATGTACCTGAACCCTGAGGTCTCTCTGTACAACAACACTACCTAAAGCCCTACCATTAACTGTAAAAGTCCTGCGCTTGTTTGTTTTACCAAAATGTAGATGCAGTCTTGTTCAGTGCACATTTCCCCTGCTGGCTGTGTTGACACACCTTAGCATCACTTTATTTATGGTTTTCCTCTTTCTGTTGATGAGCCCAGGTGGTGTCAAATCCTATGATTGAAAAGCTGAACAAGGATGGATCTCGTGTCCCGGAATACCAGGAGGATGAGTTACTGGTTAGTCAGAACCTGCTCATGGTCTACTTCAGCCAGAGAGTTAGATTGTATTGCAAAATCTTTTACTGAGTATCTCAACGTCTGTTAAACAAAATAAAATGGAGACCTCGTGGATATTAGAGATGACAGCGAAGATTGTAGGAATAACCCCATTTCAGAATTCCCAACATTATATTTTTGTTTTGGTCTTGTATGGGATATGCGCATCGCTGGCAAGGCTGACATTTGTTGCTCATCCCTCCATGCTCCTGAACTGATTGACTCACTGGGCTATTTCAGAGGACGGTTAAGAGTCAACCACATTGCTGTGGGTCTGAAGTCACCTGTAGACCAGAGCATGTATGGATGGCAGATTTACTTCTCTAACGGGTGTTAGTGAACCAGATAGGTTTCTCCGACTATTGACAATGATCATGGTCACCATTAAAACAGCTTTTTTTTAAATTCCAGATTTTATTTTAGATTCAAATTTTACCATCTGTCAGAACGTTGGCCTGAGGTTCTGGATTATTGGTCTAGTGTCACTACCACTTCTACATTCCCTCCCTGACCTTTAAGAGATAAAAGGAAATTTGCAGGCGGGTACAGCCATAGTGGGCTGAATGGCCCCCTTCTGCAGTAGAAGGTACTATGGATGTTCTCTGTCAATCAATTCTGTATCCTAAATTTCAGCTAAACCTGTAGTGAAAACTGTTGTAATTTTTAAGAGAAACAGATCAGCCATGACGGAATAGCCTCCTTCTGTTCCTATTGTCACTGTAAAAAGGGCCAGGCTGTGAAAATTGTGTTTTTTTTTAACCTAGACAAGGGAAAACTAGATGGTGGCCTGTTAGAGGTCTTTTTAATTGTGAAAAGTTTGAGATGGTAGATGTAGAGAAGTTGGTTTCACTTGTGGAAGGATTGGTTCCAGTGCCTCCAGTATAAGACTATCACAAATAAAACTAGTAGGAAATTGTGCGAAGGCTGGGAATTGTGCACCAAATAACCTCCTTCCTAACTTCCCAAACCCTATTCACTGTTCTGAGGAAGGGTCACCGGACCCAAAACGTTAACTCTGTTTTCTCCTTCACAGATGCTGCCAGACCTGCTGAGCTTTTCCAGCAACTTTGTTTTTGTTCCCAAACCCTATGCTGTATCTACAAGGTGTAAGTCAGGAGTGAGATGGACTACTGTCTGCTTACCCCGAGTGAGTGCAGCTCCAACAACACTTAGGCTTGACACCGTCCAGGACAAAGCAGCCTGCTTGATTGGCACCACTAGTAGGAAATTCAGGAGAAACTTCTTTACCTGGAGAGTGATAAGAATGTGGAACCTGCTACTACAAGTGTTGGTTAAGGCCAGTAGCTTAGATGCATTTAAGGGGAAGATGGAAGAAATTGAAGGATGTGTTGTTAGGCCGAGATGAAGAGGGTTGAGAACAAGCTCGTGTGGAACATAAACACTAGCTAAGACTAGTAGGGGTGAAAGGCCAGTTTCTGTACTAAAGATTGTGTCTACTTCTCTTGGTGCTGCTGTTTTGTAAAGTAAACGTTTGCTTCCACTTCAGGACACCGTGTATGGGGCAGTGATCCAGCAGTGCTATTGTATGTACAAGGTGATGTAGATCGGCTACTTCCTACATGTTTTCTGCTACTCGTTTTCTTTACTGTCAGATTTTCCCAGCTTAACATTTGTTTCTGGTCTTCCCTCACGTTCAGCTCTTCAATGGCACCTTCGCAAAATCCTTGGAGGCTGGAGGCGTTGAACATCTGCAACAGAGAATCCAGAAATTTTTCTACAGGGTAGGATCCTTAAATTTGGTTATTACTGGTGAGACCTTGACTGCAGTATTATGCTTAGCTCTGGGAGGGATATGAGAACCTTAGGAAAGTAGCAGAAGAGATTTATTCGAATGGTACCAGGGATGAGGGCCTTCATTTATGTGGAGAGACTGGAGAAGCTACTGCTGATCTTTTAAAGGGGATGCTCAATATTGTGAGAATGTATTGATAAAGTCAACAGGGAGAATTGTTAAACAGGTCACAGGCCACCGTTCTATGCCTTCCTTCCCTGAAGGCGCTGGCAGTTTTTAGCCTTGTATTCCATTCGCACTGACCACCTGCCTTTTCACACCTTGCACTATGGTGAGCTGGAGTCATGCAGGCTGTTTGACTTTGGATTGCATCACAGCTCTTCCTGGGCCTGTACAGAGTGTACAGGCCTTGGGTGTACAGAGCAAATTCATCAGAATGATGCCAGAGCTAAAAGGCTTAAATTACTTGGACAGGTGCGTAGACTAAGCTTGTATTCCCTGATGTGCGAAGGCTGGGAATTGTGCACCAAATAACCTCCTTCCTAACTTCCCAAACCCTATTCACTGTTCTGAGGAAGGGTCACCGGACCCAAAACGTTAACTCTGTTTTCTCCTTCACAGATGCTGCCAGACCTGCTGAGCTTTTCCAGCAACTTTGTTTTTGTTCCCAAACCCTATGCTGTATCTACAAGGTGTAAGTCAGGAGTGAGATGGACTACCGTCTGCTTACCCCGAGTGAGTGCAGCTCCAACAACACTTAGGCTTGACACCGTCCAGGACAAAGCAGCCTGCTTGATTGGCACCACATCCATCACCTTGAATATTCAGTCCCTCCACTGCTGGTGCACAGTGGCAGCATTGTGTATAGTCTACAAGATACATTGAAGTAACTTTCCAACGCCCCTTCAACAGCACCCTCCAAAGCAGCTGGAAGCTCAAGGGCAGCAGATGCATGGAAACACCACCACCACCTACAAGTTTCTTTCCCCAAGCCACACACCATCCTCACTTGGAAATATATTGTTGTCCTTCACTGGTGCTGTGTCAAACTCTTGGAACTTCCTCCTGAACAGCACTGGGGTGCCCACATCCTGAAGGACTGCAGTAGTTCCAGAAGACAGCTCACCAACATTTTCTCCAGGGCAGTTAGGAATGAACAATAAATGTTGGCCCAGCCACTGACAGCTACATCCCATTGAAAGGAATAATGATAATGTAAACACAAATGAAGCCAGGTAGTACTGGGAAAATAGTTGAGGAAACCACATTGCCTCAGCTCCCTGGTACGTTCTTGCCATCTGAGGTGTTTCACAGGGGGTGGCTTGGGAAGGGATATTGGCTGACTGTGGTCAAGTGTTGTTGAACAGTTTAAACGGGTTTCAAGGTCCCAGTTAGGGGCAGCATGGCTGGCATTTTGCAACTGTAGAACGGCCACCCCTCTGCCCCCATACCCTGGCCCCTTGCCACTAAAGGAGGCTGCCAGCTCTATCATGGTGGTCACTCTGCAGCTGGTGGGGCTGTGGGTGGTGGGGGAGAGCGGGAATACTATCCACATGGAAACAGCATTCCCTCAAAAAGGAGCCATCAGCATCGTGTGGCCCCAATGACCCAAGAAGTAGGAATGTCTTTCTCTTGCTCTTGTACTCTGTCTGTCTGTCTCTCTGTCTCTCTCTCTCTCTCTCTCTCTCTCCCCCCCTCCTTTGCTTCTCTGTCTCTGATAGAGAATTATTTTCAAACACCCTTGAGAGTGCTTCTGTGTTGAGGCACCTTCGTGCTTTCAGACCTGCCCGAGCAGTCACCCTCACTTCCCAGTGGGTCTCTGGAGGTTCTTGAGTTGCTGACTTTCTGTGAGTCAGGAGGTGGGGAAACTATCTACCCATCGTCCTTAAAAGCCCAGCAAGTGTAGTGATCACCAACTAAACCATCTCTAAGAAAACAGGACTGTGACCCTGTCTGGTCTGGATCCCAACAGCTGCAGGCACGATCTGGTCTTGAAGCTTGTGGGAAAGCTCTGCGTACTGTTTCTGAGACAACTTTCAGACATCAGCCGCCTCCCTCAGTAACTCTCCACCCCAGAGTATTGTGTTCAGCAACTAATGAAGTCTTCCAAATAATAAAAATCTGCTGCAAGCCTATATAACACAATAATTTTTGCAGCAACTTGTGCTCAAGTGCAATTAAGCTGTAGTGAGTGTGATTACTTTTCCACTGATCCCCACTCCTGGTCCCTAATCTAGTTATGCTTCATGGTTGTCTTAATTTGAATAATACATGGCGGATTGGTTTAATCATGGAGCTCAGTGTTGGCTAAATGTCACTGTGACCTAATCCCATTACTATAATGATTTAATGGCTGATTTGGCACTAAATTATGTCAAACTATTCAATACATATCTGTCAAAACCTATTTGTAGTTTTATTATTTGCCTAGTTCCTGTATATTCTGAACTGAACCCCAGTGTTGTACAACTGTTTGATAGATGCTATGCAGTGGGATAACTGGGCTCTATGACAGCTGCCATTGACAACAAACTTTTTAACGAAGCTTGTATAATGTTGCACTTAAATAATTAATTCAAAGTGACAGCAAGGTAATTTAAAATGATTTCCTCCCTTTTTTTTTAAACCCCAAGTACGTAAAATCTAGTCAATAATGGACTTATTTTGTCTCTTTTAAATTTTGATGATTTTCTAATAGTGGCTTAGAAATTTTACTAATTCAGAAAATTGAGCCTGGTTATGTATGAGGCAATCCCTTATTTATTTTTCATTGAGTGTATGCTGAGATTTTTGCCAATTAGGTCAGTGTCTACTAGGAATGTAAAACCTTAACGGTTACTAACTGCATTAATAAACACAGTCAGTCTGAGGGTAATGTATCTCTTGGTGAAAGTGGTCATATTCCAGCACAGTACTGTGGGAGCGCTGCACTTTCAGAGATGCCATCTTTCAGATGAAGTGTTTAGGTTTGATGTCTGCCCCCTCAATTGGATGTAAGAGATCCCACAACACAATGTTGAAGAAGGGCAGAGGAGTTCTCCCCAGTTTAACCTGAGCAACATCACTTGTAAAAGTAATGTGCGGCAGTTTCCTGTGCAGCTGCATTTTTATACATTTAACAGTGACTGTCGTGAATGACCTACTAAGTAACAGGTTCAAGGGTCTAAAGGCCTTCTCCTGAGCCAACGTTTGAATCGGGGAGATGGATTATTTTTCAAGGTGGCATTTAGAAGTAAAGATAAAGATTTTTTTGGTGTCCTTCTTCCAACAGTACTTGCAAACGTTACACTTACAGTCATGTGACCTACTGGACGTGTTTGGTGGAATCAGCTTCTTCCCTCTGGATAAAATGACTTACCTGAAGATTCAGTCATTTGTCAACAAAATGGAGGAAAGCCTAGATCTCGTCAAGTACACAGCATTCCTGTACAATGACCAACTCATCTGGTAAGTCTGCGTTACCCGTTATTAGAGTTTGATTTGACTGGTGCCATCTGGTAATGCAAAAGTAACAATGCCTACAGCTCAAAAAATATCTGAGAGGGCAGCCAGGGGTCCGGTTTAATGTCCGATTCAAAAAACAGCCTCTACGACAACTCATTATTCCATTGAGAAGCACAGCTGGAATTCTGTGCTCAAGTTTCTGGAATGGTATTTGAACAACAAACTTCTTGACTTGTAGCCAAGAGTGTGTTTGAAAGACTTCTAAATGTTCAGAAAGCTGCCTCTCTTTGGAACATTAGAACATAAGCAATAGGAACTGGACCGCTCAAAATAGCTCCACCATTCAACAAAATCATGGCTGACCTTCTAATTGAACTATCTTCCTGTGTGATCCCCATTCCCTTAATTCTTACTCTACCGAAAAATTTATCAATCTCTGTTCTGGATATAGTCAATAACTGGTCTTCCACAGCCTAGAGAATTTCTCCTTGTTTCATCCTAAATGACCAACCCCTTAATCTGAGACTGAGAGTGAGCCCAACCCCTGGGCTACTTCTCCTCCTCCTCTTCTCCCCGCCCCCACCCCCAATGGAAACATCCTCTACAACATTGACATTGTCCAACCGCTAAGAATATTGTACGTTTCAATGAGGTTTTTATGTATTTTTGGAGATTTTACTTCCAAACTGAGAGCATATCTGGGATGTTAAGTCAGCTAGTTTAACATCTGTTATTGGGAAGATGTTTGAGTCTATAAAGCATTTGGAAAGACATAATCTAATCATTGCTGAATCAGCATGACTTCAGGAAGGGCAAATCATGTCTGACAAATTTATTTGAATTCTTTGACGGGGTAGCAAGCAGGATAGATAAAGGAGAACCAGAGAGGTAACATACTTGGATTTCCAAAAGGTAACGCACGTTAGGCTACTTACTAAGATAGGATCCTAAGATATTACGATAAAAGTATATTAGCCTGGATGGAGGATTGGTTAACTATTAGAAGCCTGAGAGTTGGATAAAGGGGACATTTCAAGATGGCAACCTGTAACTAGTAGAGTTCCATAGAGATCAGTGCTGGAGCCACAATTACCTACAAGATATATTGATAACTCGGATGACAGAAGTGAATGTACTATCACCGTGTTTGCGGATGACATAGAGTCTGCAGGTTAATGTGTGAGCAAAAACTCGGTGGATGGCATGCAATGAGGGAAATGTGTTGCTATGTAGTTTAGCGGAAACAATGAATAAGAGAATATTATTTTGATGTAGAAAGACTGCAGGAAGGGATTTGGCGGTCTCCATGCATGAATCACAAAAGCTAATATCCAACTTCATCAGATACTGGGGGAGGTAACTGGACCGTTGGTGTTTATTTCCAAGGGAACAGAGCATGAAAGTCGGGATAGCTCGGCAGGTCTGGCAGGATCTGTGGAGAGAAATCAGAGTTAACATCATGGGTTGAGTGATCCTTCTTAAGAACTTTTCTGAGGAAGGGTCACTCGATCTAAAACATTAACTGTTGCTTTCTCTCCACAGATGCTGCCAGACCTGCTGAGCTTTACCAGCAATTTCTGGTTTTGTTTCAGATTTACAGCATCTGCAGCACTTTTTTGTTTTTTATACAAGTAGGGGTGACTTGCTAAAACTGAAATAGGCACTAGTCAGACCACACCTGGAATACTGTGAACAGTTTTGGTCCTCTTATGTAAGGAATGATATACTTGCATGGGACTTAGTCCAGAGAAAGTTCATTGGGTTGATTCCAGGTATGGAGAAATTTTGTTTGTAAGGAGAAATTGAGCAATTTGGGCTTGTACTTTTTTGGAATTTAGAAGAATGAGATTCTTAGGGGAATTTCCAGGGTAGTCGCAGAGACAGTGTTTCCCCTTGTGGAAAAGTCTAGGATCAGAGGGCATAATCTCGAGGGTTCACACATTTCAGACTGAGCTGGGGAGGATTTGTTTCTCTGAGGGTGGTTAATCTGTGGAATTCATTAGTAAAGAAAGCTGTAGAGGTTGGGTTGTTAAGTATATTCAAGGCTGAGAAAGACAGATTTTTAATTGGTAAGGGAATGAGGATTTTGGGGATAAGGCAGGAAAGTGGAGTTAAAAATGATCAGATCAGTCATAACCTCATTGAATGGCAGAGCAGACTCAGTTGCCTGAATGACCCACTTCTGCTCCCTGCTGCTATGTCTTATGATTCTTATGATGTCCATGACATTTTTCAGTTCCTGTGTGCAGCACAGTTGAAATGTCTTAAATAGTGACATCAAAACAGGAAAAAGGATACATAACAGTGACATATATATTGTGGTCGTGAGATCATGACTTCATCAATGAGGCATCTTTGGATCTGCTGGCCCTGGGTGTAGATTAGAGACAGACACTAAGACCCATAGGGAACTAGGTTGTTAACTGAATGCAATGTGGCACTTTTTCCATAGTTTGAGCACTGGAAACCCAGGTGAGGGAGAATTGAGCAGCTGTTTCACAGAAGGGAGCAGTGGTCATTGCTGCTGTGTTTAGTTCCAAGCTGGTTGATGGGCCCCTGTCTAGCTGACCCTCTCAGTGCACTTACTGAGGAAGTGCTGCACTGTCAGAGGTGCTGTCTTTTGGATGAGATGTGAGCTTGTTGCCCTGTCTGCACTCACAGCTGGGTATAAAAGATCTCACGACACTTCTGAAGAAGAGCAGGGAGGTATCCATGTTGTCTTGGCAAATACTTCTTCGATCAAAATTGCTTAAACAGGTTATCAAGTCATTATCGCACTACTGTTTGTGGGACCATGTTGCATGCAAATTGCTTGCCATTTTACGACAGTGACTACACTTCAGTCACTCATTGCCTGTTAAACATTTTGGTTGACCTAAGCTTATTAAAGGCGCTAACTAAATGCACAATCTTTCTGCTTGTTTTCAGGAGTGGTTTGGAGCAGGATGATATGCGAATCCTGTACAAGTACCTCACAACATCACTCTTTCCAAGGCATCTGGAGCCAGAGGTATTCTCAATGTCTTTAATATGTTTCCATGGTCAAGAATTGGGGGCTTAACCTGAAAATTACAGCCAGGCCCCTCAAGGGTGAAATCAGGAAGCACTTCTTCACAGAAGTGGAGGTCTGGACTTCTGTCTCTTTGCTGAAGAGCTCAGTTGAGAATCTCATTAAATAAGTAGATGTTTGCTGGGCAACAGTTATTGATTTGAAGCTGAGAAGATGGAGTTGGGGTTCAGATCAGCTGTGTTCTAATTGTATGGCAGAGTGGGTTTGTGGAACTGAATGGTAAGAGGCAGCATGGTGTTCTATCTTTTATTAACAGGTAAATCTTGGCGTGGTTTCTGTTTGGAACTTGTGAATTTTTGTGCTTGTTTCAATGAGAAATTTTAGATGCTGGAGAGTGGATTGCTTAGCCATCTTTAGGTGTTGAGTGACAGCCCCAGATACCACGGTTACATTAGAGCTCCAGCTCATTGAGGCACCCATCCCCAGCCTTTGCATTTCCTGCGCCAGTTGTCATGTTAGCTCCTGGGGTGGGGCATATACTTCAGTCAGAGCACACACACATCACCGTCCCTAGGCCTAGTCAGGGAGGACCTGGATTAAGAAAACTTGAGTTTCGTGACATGGAGCTGGTTGTTAAAGAGACCTTGATCCCATCAGAGCTATGATAGAGTAACTGAGAAACTTCCACTGCGTGAGAATCGGTAACCACACATCACGGATTGAGAGTAATTGGTGAAACATCGAGACACACAATTAGAACTTGCTTAGTGATTTGTTGTGTTGCCAGAAAGGGCAGCGAAAGCAGATTCAGTAGTGACTTTCAAAAGGGAGTCAAAACAATACTTGGGAGGGGAAAGATTTGCAGGATCATGGAGGTAGAGTGAGGGCCGTGGCAGGGGTAGTGTGGGACTCATTGGCTCACTCTTTGAAAGAGCAAGCACAGACACAATTGGCCAATTGGCCGAATGGCCACCCCCTATACCATCATTCAGTCTGAGATTGAACTCTGAACCCAGAGATGAAAGAACAATTTATTAACCAGAAACCCCTCATCCAGCAATTCTTGTTCACAATGAATATAATTTTATAAATTTGTAAACGAATGGTATGTTTTGTGTTGTGTTAATACCTCAGATGATATTGAACTTGTTTTCTCCCTTTGCTCATAGCTAATTGGTCGTGATTCCCCTGGACGAGGGGGAATAACTGTGAACCTCAACCATTATGGCAGGTATGGCTTTCCACAGAAGTTGTTGACATCTATCATGTCAGGAATTTTGTGAGGAATTTGTGGTATTTTCCTTGTAGCTGTGCATTCACAGGTTCCCTAAAGATGAACATTTTAACCGTAATCTGTAGATCCCACCACTTAAACCTTCTTCACTGATCACCATTATTCATTTAATTTTCAAATTCCTCCTGATCTCTCTCCTTCCCCATCTCTGTAACCTCCTCCAATCTCCATAACACTCCCAGATCCCTCTGTTCCTTCAGTTCTGGCCACTTGCATAAACCTGATTTTTTTTTTAAATATTGGTGGCCATGCCTTCAGAAGCCTAGCTCTAGACTTGCAACCCTTAACCTCAGCCCTCTCCACTTCGCCTTCTTCCTTTTAAGATAAGCTTTAATCAAGCGTATGGGGGTTGGTTAGCTCAGTTGGCTGGATTATGATGCAGAGTGCTGGCTGAGGTTGCCATGAAGGACCCTCCCTTCTCAACCATCGCCCCCGCACCCCCCCCCACCCCGTGACCCTCCAGTTAAACCACCAGTCCCCTCTCTCTGTGGGACTATGGGAGAACTTCACTTGTGAAGGAGACTCAAAACATTAACCCTGTTTCCTGTTGCACAGATGTCAGACCTGCTGGTTGCTGCAGCATTTTCTGTTTTCATGTCAGATTTCCCGCATTGGCAATACTTTGTTTTTATCTCCATATTCTTGTACTCTATGCTGCTATTCATATAGCCTCAGCCACTGTGTTTTATTAACTGCCCTCTTCCCCCTGTCCTGTCCTGTCCTGCCATAAGTGTACATATATCTTTCTACTTCTGCACACCCTTTAGAGTAGTCACCTATATTTTGTCACTTTGTGTTCCTCCTACCAAAATGAATTACCTCACATTTCTCACATTGAACTTCATCTGTTATCTGTATGCTTACTGCACCAACCTATGTCCTATTGAATTTCTACAGTGTCCTTTCTGTTTTCACAAATATGTTTCTCAGAATCAGCCAAATAAGCTCTGGTATTGGTATCAGATTCCTGTGATGTGAATGGAGGGGAAGGTTCCTTTTAACTGTAGCTCCCAAACATGACCTCTATCATGCAGGAAGGACAAGGAGAGCAGATGCATAGGGAACGTCACCACCTGCAAGTTCCCACCCGCCCTGCCCATGCACCATCCCAACTTTGAACAACATCATCATTCTTCCCTTGTTGCTGTGTCAAAGTCCTGGAACTCCCTCCCTAACAGCATTATTGGTGCCTGTTCTCCCCAAGGACTGCAGCATTTTAAGAACACAGCTGACCACCATTTTCTCAAGGGCAGTTAGGGCTGAGTAATAATTGTTGACCCAGCCAGTGACACTCGTATCCATCTTCAGAATTAACATGTGATCCATTCCCAGATTCAGTAGGTAAATTACAATAGGTCAGTACTCTGACAATTGATTCTGAAGTCAGCTTGAATTGTCTTAAAAATCTATACAAGAGCCAGCCTTGAAACATATCGCCTGAAGACCCTTTAACTTCAGCAGCTCTGTCACTGTCTTGATTTATAAAGAGGATGTGGTCTTCGAAAAAGGTGTATGTCCTGCAATCCGAAGCTATTGTTCACGGAAGACTGAACCGGAGGCGAGTTGGGGAGGACAGAGTTCTAGTGTTGGAGTCAACGTTTTGTGCATTTCAGGATCCTGTAACGATCAGTGACATTGAGAGTAGTTAATCTGCATCTTCGCTCAGCGGAGAAACTTCCAATGAGAGAAATTGAGGGATCTCTAAGTGTTAAGGAAAATGTGCTAAAGAAGCAAGTGCTTTACTAGTTGCCATCAAACACAGTTGAAAGTGTTCCATTTCTCTTCACGGCACTATGTCCCTTTAAGGAATGCCTTGGGATTGCCACATTAATTTGAGAAATCTTCCATTTGTAAGATGCTGGAAGCTGGGCCAGAAGTCATTAACATCAAACACTTTGCTTATGCCTGACTACTCTCCTGACTGTTGGGTAAATCAGGTTTCAGTATTCCACATTCAACAGAGGCCTATTAATTAAGTGAAGCAGAGTTATTATTTTGGATTGATGTTTCTTTTTAGGCCTATTGAGTATTTCCCAGCATTTTCAATTGTTATTTTGGATTTCTACCCTCTGCAGTATTTAGTTTTAAGCAAATGTTCCAGAGGGTGTAAAGGCTGGGTTTCTGGGTGCCTGCTGCTGAATTTGTTTTGGCATGTGGCAGATATATTGTTGCATGGCCAGGAGAACTTTACTGCTGAGGTGCTGACCACTGAGCCACACTGCAACACAGGAAGCAGATGTGTAGGGACAGCAACCTTGCTACTGCAGCATCCAGCCATTCTGTTGCAGACAAAATCCTTGTAAAAGAGTTCTAAACTTGCAAATGTTTGTTTTTGCTCAGGTTTCTCACTGGCCCTTATGATATCAACAATCCTGACCTTGTAGTGCGGTTTCCGAGGATCTTTGTGAACACTGACACCACCTATGAAGAATTGCACTTGATTGTTTACAAGGTGAGATCAACTGGCTTCAACTAACTTTCACAAACTTAATTAAGATATATAGCAGATGACTGACTGCCACCACAAATGATATTTACAGAAAACAAGATGCGTAAAGTTGGAAACTTTACTGTTTCTAAAAGTGTCACTCCGGAACAGATCAACCCAAAGTGACGTTCAGCCGTTGAAATACATTTTGACATGTACACGTTGTCTTAATGTAAGAAATATGTAGCAATGTATGTACCACAAGCCGCTACAAACACCAGTGTGCTAATGACCAGATAATTTATTTTTGTTTTTTTAATTATATTCACGGGATGAGGGTGTTTTTGGATGGCCAGCAAGTATTGTCCATCTAGAGGGTAGTTAAGAGCCAACCACATTGCTGTGGGTCTGGAGTCATATGTAGTCCCTGCCAGGTAAGGAAAGCAGTTTCCTTCCTTAAAGGACATCAGTGAACTAAATGGGTTTTTCTGACAATCGGCAATGGTTTCATGGTCATCATTAACTTCTTCTTATTTCCAGATTGATTCAAATTCCACTGTATCTGCCATGATGGGATTTGAACCCAGGTCCCTAGAACACTACCTGGGCCTCTGGATTATTAGTCATATGATAATGCCGCTAGGCCTACCCCTACATCTACAGTCGTGTAGGTTAAGGGAATAAATATTCACTGGGTATTGTCTACTTTAAAGTTTTTTTTTAACAACCACTTGAAAAGAATCTCCGTTTAATATCTCTTTGGAAAGACAGCATCTCCAACAGTGCAGCAGTCCCTCAGTTAACCTGGACTTTTCTGCCCCAGTCCTGTAGCAGAGTTTCAACCCAGAACGTTCTGACTCCAAGGTCAGAAAGCTGACCATGAGCCATAGGCGCTATTACAGTCTGGTAGCTGCAGTCCCATTACTTTTATTCTTGTGTGTAATGGCAAATTTTAAATAATTGACAAGGAACTTAAAACAATCCTGAGTTTGCAGGTAAGTAAAAATTGTGTAATCGAGCCCTACCCTCAATAATTTGTGACATGGCTAAAACACAGTATACTAACTTGATGCCAACCTGTGTCAATGTCGCTGTCCCTGTTTGATTTAATGCTGATTGATGGTTGTATTATTCAAAGAACTGAGAAAAGTCTTTAGTGACGCAGTAGTTTGAACACAATGGTAATAGATCCCCCACCATTGCCAGATCCACCTTACTAGATTGTACTAGATAAAGATGCCACTAATACTCTACATGTACAAATGAAACTGTGGAGTTCAGGACATGTGGCCCCACAGCTCACCTGATATAGTATTCATTAGAGTTTTCACTGCCTATCCCCATGTGTACCATAAATTCATCACTATATCTGAGTTTTTTGCATATCCCATGATAAATCTGTCAAATTTTCCTGAATCAGTCCATCAGTTTAATGGATTGCAAAGCTCATCACAAGCAGAGATTTGGTTCGTAAAGAAAGGAATAGAGTCCGATTCGGACTTGGATATGATAATGCAAGTTATGCATTCAGCATGTATTGAATCACAGGTCTGTGCAGCTTCTGTTTTGATTTTAAAATACCATTGTTTTGAGGATCTGCCATTTTGTTTGCATGTTATACACGATCATAGGCCATAATAGATAAAATATTTTATGTTTCAGCTTTTGGGATTCCTATGCTTATATGCTCTGTTTATGTTTCCAGGCTATGAGTGCAGTGGTTTGCTTTCTGATTGATGGTGAGTTTCTTTATTTGACTGTTGAGATTTGTTTTAATTTCCAACGTAAATAACCATGCTAGTAAAGATGCCAAGATAAGTATGGATGTAGTTCATTCATTCAGTTAGTCACCTCTTCATCCATGGCAGCATTTTAGTAAGTTTTTTCAATGTTTCCAGGAATTCTGCCTCTATTCTAGTCAAATTTCCACTTGTGTTGGTCACTCTCTTTTAAAGCCATTTCTAACAAAGTCATCAATGGAACTTGTAGTGATTGTAACAAGGTCAGCCAGGTGGACGTCATAGAATATGAGTTCCTTGATTGGGGCTGTTAATCTGGTCCAATCAGGGAGCCCTGGTTCACAGATATAAATAGGAGTGTCAACGGTTCTGAGAGTTGGCTCTGAGGGAGCTGGATCAGTGTCAAGGACTTTCCACATGTAAATAAAGGGTGTCTCCACCGACCTCTGTGGAGTTATTTCAGTGGCAATGAGAGTAAAGTACATCGTGAAGAAACTTGTTTGCAACAGTCATCTTTGAGATGGGGTAAGCATTGCTTGCATCATGCAATTATTTGGGAAACTAGATTTGTTCGACCTTGCTGTTGAACACTCGGCCCAATATGTAGAAAGAATGTTATTATTTCCGGGCAAATGACAGTTTGTGGGTCCACAGCTTTTTTGATTATTAGGAGCCTAACTTTCCCTGAGTTACCAGATACTCAAACCTGTCAAGAGTTGACAGATTTTGTTAAGGAATTTTACAACCCCAAGACCTCTCTAATTCTGAGATGCTATCTGTTTTACTTGGCAATATGGAAACCACATCGAGATTTGACAAGGTTAAGACAACGGGCAGAGGCATATCACTTTGGTTTAACCTTTAATGAGATGCTGAGAGGCTGTTTGGTATGTGGGATTAATGATGTAATCATGCAAAAGTGCCTACTAGCTGAAGCCTAACTGGACTTCAAACAGGCACTACAACTGGCTTTATCATTGGAAAAGGTGGCAAGTGGAGCATGTGAGTTGCAGGGTATTCCAATGGAAGTGGTACACTCGCCGGTCCGACTGAGCTTGGGGAATACCACTTGAGTGAAGGCAATTGAATAGCCTCACTCAGGACATATCCTCAACAGAGGGGCTCCACGTCAGCCCTCAGCAAAGCATCAAAACAAAGCCAAACCTCAGTCAAACGGTTAAACCTTTTTTCAGGATCTGGGCCAGCAAGCCATTGTAGTTGCTGTCAGTATGCAGACTTGAGACAGCAAAAGAGTCCCACTGGACCTAAATTGAGCAATAGAACTCATAGGCCAGTATCCAGGAGAGTGCACACCCTGGAAAGTCCACATACATCTGGTCTGGAACAGTTAAATTGCTTAGCAACATCCAAATCAGAACCAATCAAAATAAACGTCTGGTTAAATGGTCACTGGTTCTAATGGAGGTCGATACCAGACTGGGTGTTTCAGCAATTGCAGAACCAGTCTTTAACAAAATTCGCTGTGGACTCCAACCCTTAAGTTTGTGCAAGACCTCAGCTAGACTGAGAACCCAAACCAGGGAACCTTTCCAGGTTAAGAGTATACCTTTGGTTCAGGTCTCTTATGAGAAGCAGCTGGTTCAGCTACCACTGATTGTAGTAAAAGGCTCAGGCCCAAGCTTAATGGGGCGAAATTGGTTGAGAAAAATTCACCTAGATTGGCTCAACATTTTTCGATTAGAAAATGGCTGCCTTCACGAAGTCCTAATTAAATACCTGGAAGTTTTTCAGGAAGGTCTGAGGATTATCAAGAGAGCCAAGGCCACCTTGCATGTTGACCAGGAAGCAATTCCATGATCTACATGGCCCACCCAGTGTCGTTTGCTTTACGGGCAAAAGTACAGGCAGAAATCAGAGGCTTGAAAGCAAAAGTATCATCAAACCAGTCCAGTCTGTGGAATGGACAGCACCAGTCATTCCGATTGTGAAGCCCAATGGGCCGTTTCGTCTTTGTGGGGATTTTAAACAAATGATAAACTGCTTTTGTCAGCTGGTTAAATACCAAATCCCTCGCAATGAGGATTTATACACAAAGCTGGCAGGGGGTCTGTCCTTCACAAAACTGGACTTGAGCCATGCGGACCCGCAATTGCGATTAGATGAGGATTCCCGGAAATATGCTACAATTAACACCCATAAGGGTTAGTACCAATGTACGAGACTATTATTTGGAGTATCGTCAGCCTGTGCAATTTTTTGGCATGATGTGGAGGTGCCAGTGTTGGACTGGTGTGGACAAGGTCAGAAATCACACGACACCAGCTTATAGTCCAACTGGTTTATTTGAAAACACAAGCTTTCGGAGTCTTACTCGGACAATGGAGAACATTTACAAGGCTACCCCAGGTTGCTATTTATCTAGATGACGTGCTAATAACAGGGAAGACCAATAAGGAACAATTAGAGAACTTGGACATAGCCCTTAGACATTTTTCCCAGGTGGACATACACCTTAGAAGGGAAACAGATGTTCCAGGCACCCCAACTGCAACAGAGTCGACGAGACCAAGATACACCTGATGGAAGATAAAGTGAGGATGATCAAAGGTACCGATTCCCACAGCTGTACTGGAGTTTAGGTCTTTCCTTGGGCTGATGAATTATTATGAAAAGTTTGTGCATAACCTGGCTTCCATCCTGGCACCTTTGCATCAACTCTTGACAGCCTTGGAAATGGTCGTGTAGCCAAGCCATAAAGTTCAGGGGAGTGAAGAAACAGCTATCATCCTCTAAGGTGTTGGCGCACTATGATCCCAAGCAAGATCTAGTATTGACATGTGATACCCTCCCCCTGCAGCATTTGGGTAGTATTAGCTCATAGGTGGGCCAGTGGAGAGGAACACTCAGGACTTTGGTTAATGCAGAGCGTAAATACACCCAGATAGAGAAGGAAGGTTTGGCAGTTACGTTTGGAGTCGGGAAGTTCCACCAATACCTTTTAGGCATGTAAGTTTGTAATATTAACAGACCACAAATCCCTGCTAGGTCTATTCAAACAGGACAAGGCAGCGCCATCCATAACTTCAGCAGAATTCAGCAGTGGGCTCTAATATTAAGTGTGTATAATTACAAGTTGAAACATCGTCTCAAAGGCTACGTAGCAAATGCGGATGCAGTGAGCTGCCTCCCGCTGGCAGAAAGAGTAGTCCAAACTTTGAAGGCAGGCTTAAAGAAACAGCTTACAGCTTCGTAGATATCAGACTGTCCTGGTTCCTGTCTGATTATAGAACTATCCCTCGTGCAACTACGGAGATAGCTCCAGCAGACTTACTAATGGGGAGAAGATTCTGCACCGGGTTAAATCCGACCTTCCCCTAGGGGGGTTGTGGAGGGTGAAACGACGTAAGGAGCACCAATATTGGACGCAAGACTCTGCTGAGCTCGAGAGACAGTTACTTCAGGGAACAAGGTTTGTGTGTAGGACACACGGGAATGGCCCTGCATGGATAAGAGGCACGGTCCAGTGACATAAAGTTTGGGTAGGTGTGACAGTCCTGAACAAGCACATGGACCATATGAAAGCTGCAAACTTCCAAATGGTGCAGGAGCAAAACGTGCCTGACTCCTCGACTGCCTTTCCGACTGTTCTGGAACCTACGGGTTCTCCCTCTCTATCAAGCGTTGAAGATACCTCGGAATCTGAGATAACACTGTGTGGATCTGCAGGAACACAGCAGGCCAGGCAGCATCAGAGGAGCAGGAAAGCTGACGTTTCAGGTCGGGACCCTTCTTCGAAATGGGGGAGGGGAAGGGGGCTCTGAAATAAATAGAGGGGGGGGTGGGGCTGAGGAAGGCAGGTGGGATGGTGATAGGTGAGTGCAGGTAGGTAGTGGTGGGGGTTGGTCAGTGAGGTGGGAGGAGCAGATAGGTGGGAGAGAAGACGGACAGGTCACGGAGACTGGGATGAGGGAGAGGGTTGTTCATGGGATGAGGCCGCGGGTAGGGAGATTTTGAAGCGAGTAAAGTTCACATTGAGACCATTGGGTTGTAGGCTCCCAAGGCGGAATATGAGGTGCTGCTCCTCCAGTTTACAGGTGATGTTGTTGTGACACTGGAGGAGGCCCAGGATGGACCTGTCGTCCAGGGAGTGGGAGGTGGAGTTGAAGTGGTTCGTGACTGGAAGGTGTTGTCGTTTGTCGTGAACCGAGTGCAAGTGCTCCACAAAGTGGTCTCCGAGCCTCCTCTTGGTTTCCCCGATGTAGAGGAGACCACGTTGAGAACAGCGGATACAACAGACCACATTAGCAGATGTGCAGGTGAACATCTGTCTGATATGGAAGGTTTTTTTGGGGCCTGGGATGGAGATGAGGGGTGTGGTGTAGGGGCAGGTGTAGCACCTCCTGCGGTTGCAGGGAAAGGTGCCGGGGGTGGTGGGGCTAGTGGGGAGTGTGGAGCGAACGAGGGAGTTGCGGAGAGAGCGGTCCCTATGGGAGGGAAATATATCCTTCGTAGTGGGGTCAGATTGCAGGTGGCGGAAGTGCCGGAGAATGATGCGTTGGATACGGAGGTTAGTGGGGTGATACATGAGACAAGGGGGATTCTGTCTTCGTTTTTATTGCGGGGAGGGGATGTGAGGGCAGAGGTGCGGGAAATGCAAGCGAGGTGGATCTCGCTGCCTTGATGCCTTTACTGTCTGAAGAGGAGAATGAATTACTTCTGAGATGCTGTGGGTGCAAGAGGCAAACTACTGTGCATTACACACCACCCGTATCAGTGGCAGGGTTGGAGGAACCTGACCCGGTGCTAAAACACCCCAGGAGGAGCTAGAATAAAAAGAACTGGCCAATGTCCTCAGATCGGAGGCAGGGGGATGTAGTGATTGACACTAGGTATATAAACAGGAATGTCAGAGTTTCTCTTCACCTGTAAGCTGGATCAGTGTCAAGGACTCTTCACTTGTAAATACAGGGTGACTTGTTGATGGGATACCAGCCTCTATGGACTTATTTCAGACCTTAACTCGTGTCATCCTAAGATGAATTTGCTAAGAAATCACATAAGAATCATTTATCATTCTGCTCTCCAGTCGTTCCAGTTGCTGTCAGACCTGTTCTGGCTCCCAGTCCATTTAAGTCTCAGAAGTGAAAATTCTTATCCTTGTTTAAATCCTCTTAAAGCCTCCCTCCCCTCCCATCTCTATAGCTTCATCTCAGCTCCACAACCCTCTGAGATATATGTCTTCCTCCAGTTGTGCAACACTTGCTTCCTTTGGTTCCTGACTCTTTGGCAAGTGCATTGGACATGCTATTATTAATAGTTTATGTTTCTCCTTAGCTTCAGTGGAGCTGACTCGAGAATTTTGCCAGAGACTAGATAACCTTGTAGGACCTCAGCTCACTCTCTTGGCGTCGGACATCTGTGAGCAGTTTAATACAAACAAGAGGCTGTCAGCGTGAGTATTAACAGACCTCTGTTGGTAAAACAGAGCACTCGATGTCCTGGCCAATATTTATTCCTTAACTGATGTCAGTAAAATACTATCTGGTCGCTATTGAATTACTGTTTGTGGGAGCTTGCTATGCACAAATTAGTTGCACCGTTTCCTACATTCTAATTTTGACTACATTTCAAAAAAAGAATGCATTGGAAAGGGTGCAGACGAGATTTACCAGGATGTTGCCTGGTATGGAGGGAAGGTCTTATGAGGAAAGGCTGAGGGTTTTGAGGCTGTTTTCGTTAGAGGGCAGAAGGTTAAGAGGTGACTTGATAGAGACATACAAGATCATCAGAGGATTAGATAGGGTGGACAGTGGGAGCCTTTTTCCTCGGATGGTGATGGCTAGCACGAGGGGACATAGCTTTAAATTGAGGGGTGATAGATATAGGACAGATGTCAGAGGTAGGTTCTTTACTCAGAGAGTAGTAAGGGCGTGGAATGCCCTGCCTGCAAAAATAGTAGACTCGCCCACTTTAAGGGCATTTAAATGGTCATTGGATAAACATATGGATGATAATGGAATAGTTTAGGTTAGATGGGCTTCACATTGGTTTCACAGGTCGGCGCAACATCGAGGGCCGAAGGGCCTGTACTGCGCTGTAATGTTCTATGTTCTATGTTCTATGTTCTATATTCTATTCAGCTGTGAAGCATTTCGGATGTTCCAAGGTCATGAAAGGTGCTATATAAATATGAGCTCTTTCTGCCTTGTTCCCACATTCCTTTATTCATTCTTTCTTTTGCTTCATTCGCCTCCCTAAACAATTTTTAGAAGTTGACCTGATCTCTGTTTTAGTCACTCACTTTATTAATGTATCTTCCAGCCTTACAGCCCTCCGTATCAGAGAACTTTCTCCTCCTCTCAGGCTTAAATCTCTGACATTTACATATTGATGTAAACATATTGATTACCTTCTAAACCCGTTCAATACTGTCTGCTTTGAAATATCAATATCTACATTAGGACAGTAACTATGTTTCAAGACCTATGTCATTGGCTGTAAATTGCTGTGAAATCTCCTATGATGGAAAACACATCATAAATGCAAGTCTTTTTTTAATCTTTCTATATCCTGTCATAATATTAAACTTCACTATCAAAGCCCCTCCAACCCATCCTTAATCTACTTGGTCCATCAAATTTATATTTCCTCACACCAGGCAGCCTCCTCGTGAACCTGCACAAAGTCCTATCTACTGCATCAACATTCTGCTGCTGTGCAGAGCTGAAAACACCATGTAGTACTTTAGCTGTAGATTTCCATTGCCTTTACAGCACAGAAACAGGACATCCAGTTCAGTCAGTCCATGGTGATGTTTATACTGCAATCAAGCACCTCCCATCCTTTTCATCTAATTTATCAGCTAAAGCCTCTTTCGCCTTCTTCATGAGATAGGTGGCTCAGTGATTAGCACTGCTGCCTCACAGCACCAGGGACCCAGGTTCAATTCCATTCTCAGGCGATTATCTATGTGGAGTTTGCACATTCTCCCAGTGTCTGTGTGGGTTTCCTCCGGGTGCTCCGGTTTCCTCCCACAGTCCACAGATGTGCAGGCTAGGTGGATTGGCCATGCTAAATTGCCCATAGTGCCCAGGGATGTTTGGGTTAGACATGGGGAAATGCAGGGGTAGGGGAATGAGTCAGGGTGGGATGCTCTTCAGAGGGGTGGTGTGGATTTGTTGGGCCAAATGGCCTGTTTCCACACTGTAGGGATTCTATGATACGGTTAATGTAAAGGCCAATGTGGCTGGTTTGACTCACTCCCTGTTGTGATGTAATTATATAGAATTACGACAATGTCACTGGGCTGAGATCAGCCGTTTCCACAATTTTGCACCCAGTGAGCCATCTGGGAAACCACCTTTTTTTTTTAAAAGAAAGACTTCTGTAAATTGTAAGAAATCTTTAAGTATTATAGACTAATCAATACCATTTGTTATTCCTAAGAATGGGTGTTGTGTGTGGATAGTTGGATTACATGTGGCTAAAATTCCGCTTTAAAATTCATGAGTGTTAAATGCATGCTCATTACAATACAGATTTATTGATGGGGCTCTCTAGCTTTGAAGTTCACTTTTGCGAGGTTCACCAGTTTCAGGCCTTTTGCATATTCTGTCATTGTAAATCTTGTTTTATCAGATTTTCAAGAGGTCAAGTTAGGAAACCCAGGGTTCCTTCTGTCTGATTAAAGTTTAATCGCTCCTCATGTATCCTGATGGCTCAATAGAATAAAATACCTGCATTAGTACGAGCAAGAATTGACAGTACAAACCAATGATATATTACAGGACAAGGACCTTCCGGTTCAGTCTGTGAGCAGTTGACCATCAAAATAATTAATATAATAAGATATGCCTCTTGATACTCAATATCCAGGATCAGCCATATTGTTAATTAATTTTTAACTGTGGTGTAAATGAGTATGAAACGGATGCCAAGTTATTTACTTCTGATGATTACATCAAGTTATATCTGCTGAGTCTAATACTTTTATGCAACACACAATTTTCAGTGTCCTACAATACATTAAAGAACTTATTTGATGTACTGAAGACAAAAAAGTGCTGGAGATCACAGTCGGTCAGGCAGCATCTGTAGAGAGAAAGCAATCTAACATTTTGAGTCTAGATGACCCTTCATCTTTTCAGTACAGATTCCAGCATCTGCAGTAATTTGCTTCTGTTTATTTGATGTAGTTGCCTTTAATGCATTGGTATGGCTTATGGATCCCTCACTAAGTTTTTTTTAAATGTGACACTGTATCCTTCTGTAACACCAGTAAAGAACTATTTTGTTGCCTCGACAGATGCATAGCTGCCCAACCTTCTCCTCAGTAGGGTTCTCTCCTCATCATGTTTTCTTACCACCCCTATATTACAATGCAATATAAAGAATGTCCCATATGTGATATAACGACTGCATGTTGTTGGTGTTGCTGCATCTCACTTATTTTCAGTGACCTCTATCAGTTTACTCACTCAATCAGTTCCCATTGCGTGTTCTGTGTTAATACCCAATAGACTACACAATGCCAGGGATGTATAGAAAAGTGGTGCTTCCACCAAAGTGATCAGCAATTGGTAGCCATTTCAAGGAGTGGGTACAGCTGTTGCACAGTATAATTGAAGAAAGTTATGAATTGGGGAATAGGGAGCACAGACTTGACCAATAAAGGATGTGAAATTAATATTTAAGCAATTTACTTCAGAGCTTTAGTGTAAGTTGTACTTACAATGTCACAATTTGTGCTGGCATTTTTCTCTCACCAATGTAAATTTCTTTGTCACCATTTCCTATTCAATTTTCCTTTGTCAATTATCACAATATAGTTGTCACCTCTGGTGATTAGGTAGCTCTGTGAAGCATTTTTGAAGACTATCTTCCAGTTCCTCCTTTGTCTTGTAAATAAAAATCTAAAACTTCACATTCATGCTTGTTAAAAATGTACAGTATTTTTGGAATTGCTCTCCAAGTAATGTAAGAGAGACATGAGAGCTACACTTAAAAATTTGCATTAATACAACTTGGTACACTTCTTTCTCTTTCAGACCTGAAAAGGAACCTCACTTCAAGTTTATTTACTTCAATCACATGAATCTGGCTGAGAAAACGACCATTCACATGCGGAAAACAGCCAGCATGTCCCTGACCTCGGTCCACACTGACCTAATGAAGATCCTGGGAGATATTAACAGTGATTTCTCAAGGTACTGCCTCAATGTTTAAAAAGTTTGTTTTTTTTAATGATGAGCAGTTACTTACAGTGAGCTTTATTTCATTTTGCTTGACTTGCTTGTCGTGATTTACACAGAGCTGAAGAGGATGAAGAAATCATCGTAAAGGCGATGACCGATTACTGGGTGGTTGGCAAAAAGTCTGACCAGCGGGAACTTTATGTAATCTTGAGTCAGAAGAATGCAAATCTGATTGAAGTTAATGGTGAGTTACAAAATAATACCAAAAATAAGAATTAATAATGTTCCAGAAAGATTCTCGGGCTGATGATCACTTATTTCGAAAGGAGAATGCTGGCCTGAATGAGGTCTTCAAGATTTTAGAGAGGATATTTCAACTTGTGGTGAGATGATGATTAGGGCCAAAAGCAGATTATTAATCAAGAATTCAGTAGGGAATGCAGGACAAACATGAAAAATAGGGACAAAAACAAAGTTGCTGGAAAAGCTCAGCATGTCTGTTAGCATCTGTGAAAAATAGGGAAATACTCTGGCTACGAGAGTTAAGTTAAATAGATAGGAATTCTGCAGTGAGCGGTTCATTTCTTAACTCCCCAGTATGTGTCCTAAGTCAGGAGGTGTGATGGAATAATCTCCACTTCACTGAATGGATGCAACTCCAGCAACTCTGAAGAAACTTCGTGCCACTTGAGAAAAAGCAGTCCATTGATCAGAACCCTATCCACCGTCTTAAACAAACGTTCCTTCATAGCAGTGTGTAATGTCAACAAGATGCACTCACTGCAACTTATCCTGTCTCTGTCAAGGACACATCACAAACCCATAAACATGGCCACTTAGGGAAGACAAGGGTAGTCACCGCATGGAAATACCACCACTTGCAAGTCGAACAGCATATTACATATCATTCTTTCACTGTATTGCAAAAAAAAATTCTATGACTTCCTTAGCACCACTGTAGATGTACCTACTCCACGTGGAATGCAGTGTTTCAAGAGGGCAGCTCATCACTACCTCTGAAAGGCAATTCGCAATGTGTAGCAGTTTTCCAATGATGTTCATATCCTATGAATAAATGTTTAAAATAGGAACTTTGAATTTTCTATCACAAAGACTGGTTAAGGTGTCTTTAAGGAAAAGTTTGATGAGGGGGAAAGAAATCAAGGGATATGTTTGCAGTGAGATGAAGAAGGGTGGGGGGAGGGTTTGTAAAACCTTGTCTTTTGTTTGTAAAGGATAACATCATAGGCAGCAATTATAAGCCAATTGCAATAAGGCACAACCAAACAGGTGTGGTAGAATCAAAGAGCTGTTGACTACAGTGCAAGGTTTTGGTGTTTATAGATTATCCTCTGATTTAGAAGCAGAAAATGCCCAGTGTTTCAAGTACAGCCTGCATTGAAGTATATCTTCTACACACCAACAGTGGAGATTTTTGTTGAATGGCATGCCAACTCACTATTCCAATGATGTCTTCAAAAAAGTTTTGAAGAAGTGCCATATCAGACTCAAAACATTCTTTGTTTTTCTCTCCAAAGATGCTGCCAGACCTGCTGAGTTTCTCCAGCAGTTTCTGTTTTTATTTCAGTTTTCCAGCATTCGCAGTATTGTATTCTCATTTGAGTAGTTAATAAGATAGTGTGTTAGCAACTAATTACAGGTTATATTGATGTGATAGACATAGTTACAGAAACGTTGAGGAGAACCAGATGTTAGATCTCAATCCATTCAATGCTAGGCTGTTCTGCCTAGAAATCCATATAAATGATTTGGATTTGAATATGGGAAGTATGATTAGTAAGCTTGCAGATGACAAAATTGGTAGTGTAGTGGACAACAAAGAAGATTGCCTTAGAGTTTGACAGGACCATGATCAAGGAGTGGCAGATGGAGTTTAATTTAGATAAATGTGAGGTGCTATATTTTGGTAGGGCAGGATTTATACACTTAATGGTAATGTCCTAGGGAGTATTGCTGAACAAAGGGACCTTGAAATGCAGGTTCATAGTTCCTTGAAAGTGGAGTCGCAGGTAGATAGGATAGTGAAGAATGTGTTTGGTGCGCTTGCCTCTATTGGTTAGTGCATTGAGGATAGGAGTTAGGAGGTCATGTTGCGGCTGTACAGGACATTGATTAGGCCACTTTTAGAATACTGCGTTTAATTATGGTCTCGTTGTTACAGGAAAGATGTTGTTAATCTTGAAAGGATTCAGAAAAAAATTAAAATTATGTTGCCAGGGTTGGAGGTTTTGACCTTAAGGGAGAGGCTGAGTAGGCTGGGGCTATTTTCCCTGGAGCATCGGAGGCTGAGGGATGACCTTATAGAGGTTTATAAAATCATGAGGGCATGGATAGGGTGAATAGTCAAGGCCATTTCCCCAGGGTAGGGGACTCCAAAACTAGAGGGCATATGTTTAAGGTGAGAGAGGAAAGATTTAAACGGGACCTGAGGGGCAGTTTTTCATGCAAAGTGGGGTGCATGTAAGGAATGAACTGCCAGAGGAAGCAGTGGAAGCTGGTACAATTACAACATTTAAAAGTATGGGTATATGAATAGGAAGGGTTTAAGAGGGATATGGGCGAAATGTTGGCAAATGGGACTAGATTAATTTAAGATATTTGGTCAGCATGGGTGAGTTGGACCAGAGGATCTGTTTCTGTGCTATACATCTCTATGATTGTATATGATCTCATTGTTGTCAATGGTGCTTGTGTTTGTCCTGTATATGAATACTTTCAGACCCATAGATAACAATATTAAAATTTTGTTTCAATACGGGCTGAACTTTTAATCCTGGATCTATTGTAAAAGATTAACTTTACTTTGCCTGAAGTGAATTTACATTTAAATGGAAATGAGATTCAGTATAATTTGTTTAATCAGCAACTTGCCTCCATTTAGTGCACTTAACATGGCAAAGCATCCCTGGGCAAAATTTGGCATCGAGCAACATAATAAAATATTTGGGCAGGAAGAAGTAGAAGAGAGGTTGAGAGGTAGGGGGAATTCCAGAGCTAAGGGTCCTGAAAGCAGAAGGGCCATCTGCCAATGGTGGAGTGATTAAAATGAGGGATGCATAAGAAAATAAAATTGGAGAAGTGCAGAGATCTAATGGGTTTGAAGCAGATTACGAAGATTGGGAATAAGGGCCATAGAAGGATTGAAAATAAAGGTGGGAATTAAAAAATCGAGACTTGGGCTGGGAATCAAGGTGCACAGGATGATGAGTGAATGGGATTTGGCCCAAGTCAATCACTTAAGAGGAAATCAACTCTCCTTTGGTATATGTGGATTGTGTTTGTTATTTACATGCAAGCTAGGTTTCATGTAACAAAGAATAAGTGAAATGGCAGACTTATGCATTAACTATGGATGCATTCTGAGATCATGTTACTTCCTGGTTTTGGTTTCTGTCTTAACCACCACATCTCCTCACAGCCCAACATTCAAGCCTCATGAAGTTTTTTTCTTAAAAAAGACTTGCTGTTTTCATTCTGAGAAATCCAGGAGTAAAGTTGGATTTTAATCCCTCCAATGCCCCCTGGCTCATTCTCTCTCTCTTTTTCCCCTTCAAGATATTCCTCAAAATCTTGCTCTTTGATCATGCTTGAGGTCACCTGTTTAGACACCTTATGGAGCTCAGTATCCAATTTTTCTTCGGGATGCTCCTGTGAAGTGCTTAAAGATTTTTTTAATGTGTTAAAGGTCTTGTATAAATACAGCTGGTTGTAATTTGTGTGGGAAATAGTGGAACTTCAGACAGGGATAATCTCACATCAGTCAGGGGGCTTGAACTATTTAGCCATTGCCACTTTATAATGGGGAAAGTCGGGTGGATCTCCACCTGATTCTCCTCCATCCTCTGCATTCAGCGTGCTGCAGGTGCAGGGAGATTCCATTCATTGCATTTATAAGCAGGATTGGTACCCAGGCCAAAACTGTTGATTTATGATGAAAAGTTGGATAGACTGGGCACAGATTAAAGGAATTTCTAATTGTGGTGTTTGAGATGATCAGAAGGTTAGATAGTTCCTCTCTATCTGCGCTGTTTCCTTCTGGTGAGGCAGGTTCGGTACGAGGTGGGGCATAACCTTCAAATTGGAGCTAAGACACTTAGGGGCAAAGTCATGAAGCACTCCATCGTACAAGCCACAGTGGAGGTGTGGAACTCTTCACCCACCCGCCAGCAGGGCGAAAACAAAAAGCTGTTGAGGCTGTGTTTCAGTTGAGAATTTGAAAACTGAGGTTGATAAATTAATGTTTGACGTGAGTACTCAGGGTTACAGTACTGTGGATAGATGGGGTAAAATACAGAACAGCCATGACCTATTTGAAGCATGGAACAGACTGGAGGAACTGAAAGGCCACAGGTTAACACTCTCACCCTATTCCCATTAATTTGTGTACCTCCCAAATTGCTTCTGGTTCTGGGTACAGCAATAGTTGCAGTTGAAAGTCCAGCAGAGGTCAAATCAAGATCAGATCAGCTGTGGTTTAACTAAATAGTATAAGAGAGTGTGTTTACAAATGTCATCACTCCAGAGCTGATATGTGCAGAGAGAGAGAGACAGAGAGGAGGGTGGGGGTGCCCACTGGACAGTCAAGAAGATATGGGCAGATAGCCTTAGAATCCCCTGAATACACTTCACCCTCTCACCATTGTTACAATGGGGCATCTGGAGAGTAAGTGCAGCCAGGTCCATGGCACCCCGGGTGACTCAACTGTGTAGAGGATACAGTGACTGGAAGGGCAACAGTGACAGGGGATTCAGTAGTTAGGGAAGTAGACAGACATTTATGGGGCTGTGGGTGGGATTCATGGGAAGTGAACATTGCTGGCTCAGCCAGCATTTATTGCCTGTTCCTAGTTACCCTTGAGAAGGTGGTAGTGAGCTGCAGCCTTTAACAGCTGTAGTGCATGTACTATAGGTAGACACACAATGCCGTTAGGAAGTGAATTCCAGGATTTTGACCTAGTGTCAGTGAAGGAAGGACAATACATTGCCCAGTCAGGGTGATAAGCGGCCTGGAGGGGAATTTGCAGGTCATGATGTACCCAGGTATTAGTTGGCCTGGCCCTTCTAGATGGAACTGCTGGATTTGCAAGAGGCTGTCATGGAGCTTTGGAGAATTTCTGCAGTGCATCTTGTAGATGTTACATACTGCTGGTGCTAAGAATTGGTGGTAAAGTTACTGCATGTTTGAGGATGGGGTGGCAAGCAAGCTGGCTGCTTTGTCCTGGATGGTGTCAAGCTTCTTGTGTTGTTGAACTCATCCTCATCCAGGCAAGTGGATTCCATCATGTTCCTGACTTGTGCCTTATAGATGGTGGACAGGCTTTGGTGAGTCATTTTTTTCAGTTGTGTCTTTTGTACTCATGTGCTGGGCTCCCGCTCCATTGAGGATGGGGATATCTGTGGAGTCACTTCCAGTGAGTTGTTTGATTGGTCACCACCATTCACAACTGGATGTGGCAAGACTACAGAGCCTAGATCTGATACATCAGTAGTAGGATTGCTTATCTGTCACTTCTTGCTTGTGCTGTTTAGCACAGAAGTAGTCCTCTTTCGTAGCTTCATCAGGTTGAGACCTCTTTATTTCAGGTATCCTGGTGCTGCTCCTGGCAAGACGTCCTTGACCCTTCATTGAAACAGGGTTGAACCCTTAGCTTGATGGTAATGGTAGATTGGGGGATATGCTGGCCATGAGATGAACAGATTGAGGTAGAGTACAATTCTGCTGCTGTTGATGGCCCACAGCACTTTGTGGATACACAGTCTTGAATTGCTGGATCTGTTCAGTTGTTCCATTTAGCGCAGTGATAGTGTCACACAAAAAGTCCACAGGGCCATGGTGCAAAATAATGCCAACAAGAAAAAGAATCTCAAAAATATAAGCCTTAAGACCTTGTATCTTAATGCACAGAGCATTTGCAATTAAATGGATTAATTAGTCACGTAAATACAGATAAACAGGTATGATACAGTAAGGATTATGGAGACGTGATTGCAGGGTGACCAGGGATGGGAACTGAATAATCATGGGAATTCAGCTTTTAGGAAGGGCAAACAAAACGGAAAAGAGATAGTGTAGTTTTGCTGGTTAAAGAGTAAAATTAATACAATAGTGAAGAAGGATTTTGGCTCTAGTGAAGAAGAATCTGTGCAGGAAGAACTTTGAAACACCAAGATAGTGATAGTGGGGGTTGTACATAAACTCCCTTAAAATATAATGGCAATGTTGGAGAAGGTATTAAACAGGAAATTAGAGAGACAAGCAGTAAAAGTACAGCTGTAGCTATGGGTGGCTTTAATCTGCACATAGATTGGGCAAATCAAGTCAGTAATAATACCATAGAGGAGGAATTCCTGGAGTGTGTGCAGAATGGCTTTCTGGATCAATACATTGAGAAACCAACTAGAGAATAGGCCATCCTGAATTGGGCTTTGTAATGAGAAAGGAATAATACTTGTGTAAGACCTCTTGAGAAAAAGGGACCGTATAATGATAGAATCCATCATTAAGATCGAGAATGTTGTTGTTAATTATGAGATTGGTGTCCTGGATCTAAATAAAGGAAATCATAATAGTATGAGGCATAAGCTGGCTATGATAAATTGGGTAATGTTACTTAAAGGGATAATGGTGGATAAGCAATGGCAAACATTTAAAGGGCACATGCAGGAACTGCAGCAATTGTTCATTCCTGCCTGACAATAAAACAAAATGGGAAAGGTGGCCTGACCATGGCTAACCAAGGAAAATAGGGATAATATAAGATCCAGTGAAGAGGCATACAAATTAGCCAAAAAAGCAGCAGACCTGAGGATTAAAAGCAGTTCATGTTTCAACAAATAATGATAAAAGGATTGACTAAGAGGGGTGAAGTTGTGTCAGTGTAAGCTGGTGAGGAACATACGAACTGATAGTCACAGAAGCTTTAGCGATGTGAAAGGAAAAAAAAACTAATGAAGACAATAAAAGTCCCTTACAATCAGAAACAGAGAAAGTTATAATGGGGAACAAAGATGGCAGACCAATAAATACGTACTTTGGTTCTGTCTTCACAGTAGAGGAAAAAAAAATTTCCCAAAAATGTTGGGGAATGCAAGGTCTAGTGAGAGGGAGGAGCTGAAAGTAATCAGTATTAGTAAAAAATGGTGTTTGGAAAATTACTGGGATTTAAAATCCCAGTGCCTGATGATCTACATCGTAGAATACTTAAAGTAGCTGTAGAAATGGTGGATGCGTTGGTGGTCATCTTTCAAAATTTTGTAGACTCTGGAACAGTTGCTACAGATGGGAAGGTAGCTAATGTAACCTCGCTATTTTAAAAAGGAGGCAGAGAGAAAACATGGAATAATAGACCAGTCAGCCTGACATCAGTAGTGGGAGAAATGCTAAAGTTCATTGTAAAAGATTTAATGGCAGAGCAATTGGAAAACAATGGTAGAATCAGACATAGTGTGAATTTGCAAAAGGGAAATCATGTTTGACAAATCTTCTGGAATTCTTTGAGGATGTAACTAGTAGAGTTGATTAGGGGTAGCCAGTGGAAGTAGTTTTCAAAGGCTTTTGATCAGAGATTAACATGTGTATTTAGTGTGTGGGATTGGGATAGTGTATTTATATGCTGTTAGCAGAGGTAGGGAATAAACAGATCTTTTTCAGAGTGGAAGGCATTGACCAGTGGGGGTACTCTGTGTTTGGATCCCAGCTATTCTCAATATATATAAATTATTTTGATGAAGGAACTAAATTTGAAGTCTCCCAAGTTTGCAGATGACAGGAAGCTGAATGGGAGGGTGAACTATGAGGAGGATACAGGGATGCTTCAGTGTGATTTGGATAAGTGGAGTGAGTGGACAGATGCATGGCAGAAGAAGTATGATGTGGATAAATGTGAGGTTATTCACTTTGGTTAAAAAAAAGCAGGAAGGCAGATAATTATCTGAAAGACAATAGATTGAAAAAGGGGGAGGTGTAGCAAGGCCTGGGTGTCCTTGTACACCAGTCGCTGAAATTGAGCATGCAGGGCAGCAGGTGTGAAGAAAACAAATGGTATGTTGGCCTTCGTAGCAAAAGGATTCAAATGGAGGAGCGGGGATGTCTTGCTGCAGTTGTACAGTGTCTTGGTGAGACCACACCTGGAGTTTTGTGTGCAGTTTTGAACTCTTATCTGAGGAAGGATGTTCGAACTATGGGGAGTTTAACGAAGGTTTACTAGACTGATTCCTGGGATGGCAGGACTGACATATGAAGAGAGACTGGTTGAGGCCAAAACGTTGCATGTTTCCAGGGAATTAAATATAGTTCTTAGGGCTAAAGGGATCAAAGATGTGAGGAGAAAGTGGGAACAGTTGGATGGTCATCCATAATCATATTGAATGAAGAAGCAGGCTCAAAGGGCCATAAAGCCTATTCCTGCTCTTATTTAATGTGTTTCAGTGGTTTTCCTGTTTCATATTGTAGAGTGTGAACAGAATTGGGTTGCATGAGACTTCAGAGATTGCTGAGCTTTAGCATTGTTCAAGCAGTTCAAGTACAGTTAGGCAGTTTTTAAGTGGGGTGCTGAGTGGTTCTAACTATGAGTGGAGGGATATTGATGACAAAGCCAAACAGACCTAATATTTACCTTGGAAAATGTGGTATTTATGCTGATAATGGGGGTGGGATGAGCAAATAGGTGGAGACGGAGCCCAGATAGAGAGGAAAAAAAGGGAAGGCACAGGGATTGTTGATAGTAAACCACCTATTGCTCACCACACATCACCCCCTCCCAGCCTCTGCATAAATACCACTTTTTCCAAGCTGTTATCAGTTCAGAAGAAGGCTCACTGGACTCAAAATATTAACTTTTGTTCTCTCTCCAAATGCTGCCAGAGCTGCTGAGTTCTCCAGCAATTTTTGGTTTTTGCTTTGTTTCAATCCAGCATCCACAGTTATTTGTTTCATTTGAACATTTACCTTGTTCTTTTTCTGACCATGTCTCTCCCTCCAGAGGAAGTTAAGAAACTCTGTGCAACGCAGTTCAGCAACATCTTCTTCTTAGATTAACCATCAAGTTCGCCACCCATTATGACTTTGGGTGTGTCACAGACATTCAGGTGAGCGCTGGCACAAGCAGTAACTGTACAGTGCTGGACACAGCAAGTAACTCGTGCTCTTCACTCTGCCAATGGCCAGTGCAGCGTCCTTATTAATGCTGCTTGTCCTTGGAAGTCCCCATCTCGAATCACAGACAGCAGATGCTGTTATAGGAAATTTCCATGGAATGTAAGATAATTAGATTTTAAATATTTATGGCAACTGAATTAAAAGAATGTCAACTTTATCATTCCAGTCTGTAATATATAGCAAGCTTGTATTGTAAAAAAAATAAATTAACAGTAACATTTGAGTGACATTTTAACTTCTTTCCAATTGTGTCTGTGTATTTTTGCTTTATTTATACATTGACCCTCATTTAAGAGGGTTGATCATTGGATATTTTATAGAAAATTATATTCTCTAACATATGACAAATGATCTTCCTGTATAAAATGGGCCTTTTTTTACTTAAAAAGTTGTGAGTTTATGTCTGAAGTAAAACCTGTATTTATGAAGAAGTGTTCTGGTGCAGCAATGCTGAGTGTGGGTTACTGTAGAGATTAGTATACAGCTGTGTACTGTGTAACTTGGCTTTTGAGCAAAGCTACATCTAGTACACTGTAATATCTGTGGACATGAATGCTTGAAACAAAATATAATGACAATTTGGAGAATTCATTTATTTTTTAAGCAAGTTTAGTCAAGCAATTAAACTGTCCGTTACTTGGACATTAATCCCACATTTATAGTAACATCTTTTATCAAAAAAATTTCAGAAACTAGATAGAAAAAATTGCATTATGTGAACATTTTTACATTAAATGGGCAGTTAACACAAAGAAGCCTCTTTTATGATTAAGGAAATGGAGAAGTCCATTGTCACGTATATTGAAGGCATCTTTTGTGTTCCCTGATGTAAATGGTGCCCACTTAAATCACACTCATAGGGCTTTGCCTCCCCTTCTTCAGTGCTAGTTATAAATTGACACCCCTGTCCAAATTACAGCACTGAACCGTAGTAATGCAATCCTCAAATGTCATCTTTTTCATTGCCTGATCTTGTATACTGCATGCTGTAAATTCTCAATTTTTTTGCTAGAAAGAGAAGTTAGTACAAATTTTGTACCTCAAACTTACATTTTTCACATCAGATAAGTACAGCCATGTACCCGATAAATTGTATTTTAGTGTTTGAGAATTCTGCCTCTTTGTTTTCCCTACTTCAACATAAAACCAAACGGGTTTGTCTGAAAAAAGGTGCTGATTTATCCATGTAATGATACATATTTTTAAAAATAAATAAAATCTATCCACACTAATTCAAGACTTTGTTGTGTTTCAGTGCTGTGCCTAAACTTGTATGAAATTCAAGACAAAAATAAATCAAAGTTTTTTTTCTTAGATGTGGAGTGCAGTATTGTTTAGCTTCTGGAAAATAAAATCAACTCGCCGGGTTTGACTTGCTGATGTTGAATCCTACCAAAGTACTATTGCTGTTTTGATTGCCAGTTGCAGTTTTCAAGTTCACCTCAGTTCAATGGCTTTTATTCAATTTACATGTAGGACAATTTAATGAAACTACAAAATTATGTAAAAGAATAAACTTGCATTTATGAATATATAATAATTCAAAAGTTTAGTATTATGAATTAGAATTGAGGAAAAATAAAATGTAAATTCATTGTCCAATAATTTTAATTTCATGACAAATTTTATATACATAGTGTCTTTCACAATTCCATTCTATTTCAAAGACACCTCACGACTAAGTGATATACGTTAGAAGTGCAGTCACAACTGTAATGTAGGAACTGCATCACCCAATTTGCACACAGCAAAGTTCCCAAAAAATTCAGTGAACAATTTAAGTTTAGAGTTTATAAAACAGTTTACATTAAATATTGCCCTTGTCACTGGGGAGAACTTGCCCTGCTTTTCTTTAAAATAGTGCCATGAGACTTTTTTTTTTCCATCCAGCTAAGAAATGAGATGATTCTATGAGATAGTGTCTCCATTTAAAGATTACAGCTTTCGACTGTCTGCAATCCCTCAGTATTTGTAGAAACTACATCTTTGCACATTTATATTGCTTGGCTTTGATGACAAATGTGCATTCCTCAGTAAATCTGTTTCATTTAGTTTCGGTAATAGACTAGCGCACTAGATACTTAATCCTGATGGACTGTATAGACTGGAGAAAAAGCCCATGTCTGGACAACTTTACATCAATAGGATCCACGTAGCCTTCTCGTAAACCTGCATTCCAGCATATTTGCCATAAGGTTGCTTGAGAGTGATTCAACATTTAAAACCAAGTTTGGAAATCTTGCATGTTCACACAAAAGGCAGGCAGAACCTTTATTAATAGACTCATCAGAAATTCAGTACTTAATGTGCACTCTTTCAGAACAGCACTAAATTCAGTCTGGAGTGAGGCTTTGACCCAACCTAATAATTTCAAGACAAGAGTACTACCTATTGAGCTACGCATATGATGCAAAGGTAAATGGGATTGAAATAAGCAGCTCCAATATTATGGTACACAGGTCACACTAGTTGAAGGGTGGTCATGGCACATCCAAAGAAACATGACTGAGTACCACCACACACTGCCATGAAAACAGCCCACAAGATGTTCTGTATATCCAATAAGGCATTCATAAGAAACCTCTTTACTGCAAAAGCATGAAATGTAGAACTCTCTATCACAAGTAATTGAGGTGAATATTATAAAGGCTTTTAAGGACAAGCTAGATTAATATGGGGGAGAAAGGAATAAAAAGGAAATGTTGATGGAGCTTGATGAAGATAGATGCCAATGTGGAGCAATCTGGCTATGACCATTCAAGCTGAATGTCTTTTTCTGTGCTGTAAATTTACTGCTGCCAGTTTGCTTGTTGTGAGGTCCAGCATATACAAGGGGACTTGCTAGTCAAATGGGTATTGAGCTGTGTTTCATATGAAGTGTCCTACATGGAATGAACTTCAAGGTATAGGAGAAGATGGTCATTTTGGCACTTAAACCCATTTCATCGTTGAAATAGATCATGCTTCGTTCAGCTTAGAGTAGCTGATCAGTCACCTCTCTCCAATTCTTTTGCTGGTCACATATTTGCATTCCAATTACTGCTGCATTTATGTCTTACTACCAAATCCATCTATTTGACTTAGGACCGCAAGATAAGGCCTCTTCCTGGTAGTCCCATCTTTAATCATGTCTCACCACGCCCCCTCTTTCTCTGTAATGGATTGCTCTACCATTTCAAACTTTACTTATCTATTAACTCAATTCTTCCTCTACTTTATTGATCCCCTGATTTACTGGTTCTTGATCTTGGCCTTTCAAGTTACTCAAACATACATCTCAACATCCACATCTCATTAGTATACATCATTGTTCCTTTCTTCTTGACATTGGTCAAGTTTCTGCACTACATAACAAGGCTGCAGTCTCAATTCCACCCCATCTACTCTCGATCATCAGTAAAGTGATGGAAGGTATCATCAATAGCAGCAAGCAGCACTTATTCAGTACTAACCTGCTCAGTGATGCCCAGTTTGGATACCACCAGGTCAATCATCTCCTGACCTCATTACATTACACCCTTAGTTCAAGCAGGGACAGAAGTTCTGAATTCCAGATGTGAGGTGAGCATGATGGTCATTGACATCAAGGCTACATTTGACAGAAGTGTGGCATCAAGGAACCCCAGCAAAACTGCAATCAATTGGAAATGGGGGCAAACTCTCTGCTGGTTGGAGTCATATCTGGCATATAGGAAGATGGTTTTAGCTGTTGGAGGTCAGTCATCTCAGCTCCAGGACATCTCTGCAGGAGTTCTTTTGGGTAGTGTCCTGGACCCAACCATCTTCAGCTGCTTTATCAATGATCTTCCCTCCATCATAAGATCAGAAATGGAATGTTCACCAATGATTGCACTATGTTCAGCACCATTTGCAACTCTCCAGACACTGATACAGTCCCTGCCCAAATGCAACAAGACCTGGAAAATATCCAGACTTGGGCTGACAAGTAAATAACATTTGCACCATGCAAATGCCAGGCAATGACCATCTCCAATAAGAAACAATCCAACCACTGCCCCTTGACATTCAATAGTATCACTATCACTGAATCTCCCACTATAAACATCTGTGGGGTTACCACTGACCAGAAACTCAACTGGACTCACCATATAAATACTATGGCTACAACTGCAGGCCAGAGGCTAGGAATACTATAGCAAGTAACTCACTTCCTGACTCCCCAAAACCTGTCCACTATTTACAAGGCACAAGTCAGGAGTCTGATGGAATACTCCACACTTGCCTGATGCATGCAGATCCAACAACACTCAAGAAGCTTGACACCATACATGGCAAAGCAGTCCACTTGACTGGCACCATATTTATAGGCATCCACTTCATCCACCACCATCACTCAGCAGTAGCAGTGTGTACCATTTACAAGATGCACTGTAGAAATTCACCAAAGATCCTTAGACAGCACCTTCCAAATCCACTGGGTCAAAATTCTGGAATTCCACCCCTAACAGCATGATGGGTCAACCTACAGCACATGGACTGCAGTAGTTAAAGAAGAAAGCTCACTAACCCTACTGAAGGGCAACTGGGGATAGGCATTAAATGATGGCCAGCCAGTGATATGATAGTCCCGGAAGAGAATTAAAAATACTGTCTTGTAGATCCTTTCAGTTTCAGCAATGCTTTTCTATTTCACAACACTCCACTGCACTTTCTCCATTTAGTCTAATGAGATCTAATCTGTTGCCTACCATACTCACTAGCATAGAAGACAATTTTAAAAACCTGATAATTGCCTCCAAATTCTGGGGTCAACTTTTAAATTGACTATAAAAATGCTAACACAAAGAGTGGGTAGGTCTTAAACTTCCAGGTACCTTGCTAACTTTTTCTGTATCGCCTTTTTGATTTCTTATGGCCAGTGATAAGGCTTTTCTGGGGTGAAAAATCATGTAAGTACTGTGAGTGTAGTATGTCATGGGTGAAAAACAATTGACTTCTGTGTTGAATATGTTCTCTAAACAAGTTGCAGACAACTCCAACCAGAATGTTATGAATGAATTTGCCCAGGTGTCCCACAGTACCAAAGCGGTCAATTCAATACAAATGCAAACCTATACCAAAGCAAAACATTCTCACTTCATTAGGAACAAAATTATAATAATCTTTAATACTAAACATACTATCCCTAATCCTATTTGGCCCCTTACGGTTACAATACTTCCCAAATCACTTGTGAATTTACGCATCACTTGTGAATTTAGACAGTTACTCTCT